ATGCACCAGGGCTCTAGTTCTATATAATAAAAGGCTAATATGTAAATCAGGCGTCTTCAAACTACGGCCCGCGGGCCACATGTGGCCCGCAGAGGAGTCTGATCCGGCCTGCCAGGTTTTTTGGGCAGTGAGCGCAGCCGAGGTGTTACAGTAGGAATTAGTAGTTCATGTAGTCCGGCCCTCCAGCTCTTTGAGGGACCGTGATCTGGCCCCCACTTTAAAAAGTTTGAGGACGCCTGATGTAAATTGACCAAATGGCAGAACTTCCGGTCACTATGATGTGCACTGATCACCAGGGAGCAGAGACTCAACACAGGAGCTGCCCCTACTAGTCCGTGTGTTCCCACAGGGGGAGTACCACTCAGCCAGAAGCCAGGCTCATGGCTGGTGAACGCAACAGCAGTGGCAGGAGGTAAGGAGCCAGGGGTTCCACATTGTGAGAGCCCTGGACTGTGAGAGAGATGTCTGACTGCCGGCTTATGCCCGATACCCCCAGCAAGTGGACATCCTTGGAGGGGTCCCAGACTACGAGAGGGCACAGCTGGGCTGAGGGACCCCACACACACATACCCAGTGCATGAATCTCATGCACCGGGCCTCTAGCCTATATATTCTATCTCAGTGGCCGGCAAACTCATTAGTCAACGGAGCCAAATATCAATAGCTCAACAATTGAAATTTCTTTTGAGAGCCAAATTTTTTAAACTTAAACTTCTTCTAACACCACTTCTTCAAAATAGATTCACCTAGGCCATGATATTTTGTAGAAGAGCCACACTCAAGGGGCCAAAGAACTACATGTGGTAGTTCACAAGCCACGTTTCCGTTGCCGACCACTGTCCTATCTAATAAGAGAGTAATATGCAAATTGACCATCACTCCGACTCACAAGATGGCTGCCCCCATGTGGTCAAAGATGGTTGTGGATACAAGATGGCCGCCACAAGATGGCCAGCAGGGGAGGGCAGTTGTGGGCAATCAGCCCAACAGGGGAGGCAATTGCGAGGGCAGATGCAAGGGAGGGCAGATGAGGGTTATCAGGCCTGCAGGGGAGGGCAGTTGTGGGGACCAGGCCTGTAGGGGAGGGCAGTTGGGAGCAACCAGGCAGGCAGGGGAGGGCAGTTAAGGGCAATTGGGCCAGCAGAGGAGCAGTTATGTGTCAATCAGGCTAGCAAGGGAGTGGTTGGGGGTGATCAGGCTGGCAGACAGAAGCAGTTAGGAGCAATCAGGCAGGCAGGCAGGTGAGCAATTGGAAGCCAGCAGTCCTGGATTGTGAGAGGGATGTCTGACTGCCTGTTTAAGCCCGATCCCACCAGGATGGGTCCCTGATTGGAGAGGGTGCAAGATGGGCTGAGGAACACCTCCCTCATGCATTAATTTTATGCACCGGGCCTCTAGTACTAATATAAAAGGCTAAAGTGCAAAGTGTCCCCTCGGGACTTTGATCGCTCGCTATGATGGGAACTGACCACCAGGGGCAGCACAGAATGGAGGAAAGCCTGGCTGGCAGCCAAAATCCGGGGAAGAAAGGTCCCAGCTGGCAGCTGGAGGTCCCAATCAGCCGTGATCGCAGGCCAGGCCAAGCGACCCTACCCGTGCATGGATTTTGTGCACTGGGCCTCTAGTCTTAGTGATAACAGGAGATAACCTACGCTCCCTGGTGACACTCCCAGAATCAGTGGCAGGAGGCGGAAGTGCTTCCTGGAGAGTTGAGGCAGGGGAGGCAGGGTCTGGGCAGCCAGGGCTGGACAGGCTTCCACAGGGGCGAGCGCACCTGGGCTGTGGACAGCTGTGACACACGGACAAGCCACGTTTCCTTTCAATAACCGTGTTCATTCCACTGCGCGATGGCACAGCTACAACCGTCCATCACAGCTGCGATTTACATTCTAGGATGAGGCCATGTGAAAGCACGTGGAGGAAAGATAATGTAAAGATAAATTGAAGTCACTAGCATAGCGCAGAGATGGGCAAAGGGGTGATGGTGGTCTGTGAACAGAAAGTGCCTCTGGGTGCCGGACCGTCCTGGTCTCAGCACTGAAAGCCCCAGGTTCCAGGAACCCTCTCGGTCCCGGGAAACCAGGACGCGTGCTGGCTGTGTGAGGCCTGAGTTTGGGGTGTGAATCCAGGCATCAGAGTCAGACTCACCCCGTGGCGGCCGGACCGCTGCAGTGTGGGCAGGGGCGACGGGAAACCAAAATTAAAGACCTGGCGGGCCCGTGGGACAGAGCGGCTGCCTAACCAATTCAGAATTCTCTCGGCCAGTATTTGAGCGCCACCGCCCGCCCCCCGCCAGGCAGAGCGCTGGGTGCCCCGGGTGTGGTGAGGACTAGCTTTTATGGTCGGGAGACAGTGACCAAGCCCCTCGCAGAGGTGAGACTGGCAATGGCCTGGTAGCGGTGCGCACGGGACCTCTGAGGAAGTGGAGGGCAGCACAAGGGAAGGCCCCTCAGGAGAGCCAGGCCGGGCCAGCCCCGGAGCCGGCAGGAATGTGGCTCTGTGCCCAGGGCCATGGGAAGCCTCAGTGCAGAGGAGCGTGACCTTGCTCTGGCCACGGGGAAATGGCGCCATGCCGAGGTGGGGACACCCCAGGAAGGCAGCTGCAGGAGCCCCAGGCGCATGCCCACATGCCGGCGTGTAGCTGCGGAAATGAGAAGGCGGCGCAGAGGCAGAGCGGGGCTCGAAGACAGAGTGGCCACGGGGGAGACGGTCGAGAGGAAGCAGACAGCCTGTCAGGGCCAGGACCGCCAAGCAGCAGCAGTTTGGGAGGGTGGGGGGCTGGGACTTTGACAGACGCGAAGTTCTGTGGAGCTGAGGTGCCTGTGTGATATCAGTGGTGCTAGGAGGGTGCAGGCAGGGACCGGGTGGAGGCAGGGGTTGCAGGGATAACTCATTCAGCCTTCGCCACACCAGCAGGCAGGCTCAGCCTCACCCCCATTTACAAGGCCAAGGCAGAGGGGCTGATGGACAGGGCTCCAGTGGGGTATTGTAATTCAGTAAGAACACATATAAAACTGTCGGTTTAAAGTGCTTGCTCTTCAATACTCCAGGCAAGAACGCTGTGTGCCTTCCGGCCTTCCTTACGATTAGCTGAGCTTTTACCGCTGGCGGCACTGCCAACGGAGCCCGCGGGAGCCCTGAGGCAGCACCTCCTCTGCTGGCCTGGCCTTCCCATCATTCACGAGGGCAGGGGCTTCAGCCGAGGACTCCGAGGGGCTCCGAGCACCTGGAATTGTGTGCAAAACTGCCCCTGTGCCCAGATTTGCAAGAGCCAGGGAGCTAAAACCTGATTAAGAACCAGTGCCAGCCGAAACCAGTTTGGCTCAGTGGTAGAGTGTCGGTCTGCGGACTGAAAGGTCCCGGGTTCGATTCCGGTCAAGGGCATGTACATTGGTTGAGGGCACATCCCCGGTAAGGGGTGTGCAAGAGGCAGCTGGTGGATGTGTCTCTCTCATCGACGTTTCTAGCTCTCTATCTCTCTCCCTTCCTCTCTGTAAAAACCAATAAAATATATTAAAAAAAAAAAAAAAAAGAACCAGTGGCAGTCCTCAACAGCACAGCTTGATTACAAAACAGCCAGGAAACGGAAGCAGCCTGTCCCTCAGTGAGTGGGCGGAGAAAGACAGTGTGGAAGGTTGCAATGGAATGCTACTCAGCCCCAAGAAGGAATCCTGCCATTGGTGGCAACATGAGTGGACCATGTCACGTGAGCCAAGTCAGGCACGGAAAGAAGACTGATCTCATGTGTGGACCCTGAGAAAGCGGAACTCAGACACAGCAGAATGGAGGATGCTGGGTTGGGGTTGAGGAAACGGATGAGTAGGGTCTAAGGATCTAATGTAAACGCGAATCTTTTAAATGTGAAAATAAAGACACGTATAGAAATAAAAAGAACCTTGGGAGCCAGCGCCGGGGCACGCGGGGATGTCCACGGACACCGGCTGCTGTTCGCCAGCTCGCGGCTCCTCGGGGCTCTGGGTAGGATGGGAAGGAGGGCCTCGGTGGGTGTGGAGAGACGGCTGGGAGGTGGGGAATGCTGGTGCTGCCCAGGGGAGCGGAGGGGGCTGTTGACCCAGGACCTCTGGAGACGCAGAGCATGTGGGTCTCTGATCCGAGCTGTGAAAGAATGAGCTGCTCCGGGGGGATCTGGACCAGGGAGGCGAGGCCTCTGCAGCCGCCCCGTGAGTGCCCTCCTGGCGACCCGGCCAGGGACGAGGCCTGCAGCCGCCCCCAGTAGCTGGCAGAGTGCGGGTGTCCTGGGAGCCCTGAGTGCCTGCCCCGGCCCAGGACAGGGCCAGGCCTTTCCCTCGCTGCTCCGGCGTCCTGACCTCCACACGCAGGAGCTGGGACCGGGTCTTCTTGAAAATCTATTTCCGCCCCAATGGCCTCAGTTCCCGGCCTCCAGCACAGCCAGCCTTACCCTGACGGGCCCTGGAGTACAGGGCATGGGAGTGTCCCAGGGCACATTCTGCAGCTACACCGGGCCCTGCCCCTCTAGGCCTCGGTGCAGTCAGAATCCAAGCACAGCTGGGCTGGGTGTCTCCTGGGACAGGTCACCCCAACACAGATCAGTGCCACTAACTCCCTCCCTTCCTTTCCTGGGGCTCCCCCACGGGAGCTGGCGCTGCCTCACCCATCCTGCCTTTCCTTGGTCTGACCACAATGCGCCCTGGGGAGCAGGCTGGGTTCATCTGTGGTTTGGCAGCCCATTCCCTTCCCTTTGGAACCTTGGCCTTGTCGGGTGCCCTACCCTGAGGCCACGGTGTGGGCACACAAGTCAAGGTGCCAGTCGGAGCTCCCGCCGGTGGGTGTGGCAGCGGCAGAGGCCAGGCTGCTCTGCGGAGATGGAGTCCTCTGGCTCCCTTCACCTCCGCCGTCCTCCGCTTTCCTTCGGCTGGTGCAGCGTGCCCCGCATCTTCCCAGGGAGTTATTTTGCTTAAGTTAGAGAACACCCAGCGAGGAGGTTCCCCTGGGGCACAGAGGTGGCTCATAAAACAAGTGAAAGCTTTATTTGTGGTCACATTAGAGCTGTCACGTCAGCATACAGAGTTCAGTGCAGTGCTTCTCACATACAAAACCGCAAATGTGTGAATAGTGCGCCCGATAGGAGAGATTCCACTTGCAAAGCTCTGCACAGCTTCCCACGTGGAGAGTAAACACAGTGGTTAGTGAGGTCCTGACAGTCCTGTCCACAGAGGGAGACACAGGGGGGAGGAGGGGGCACTCCCTGCAGGCCCTGGGAGGGAGGCCCCCTCAGCCTGGGGAAGAGCCACCGTCGCCCACTCGCAGCACCGCAGGGCAGGGCGGCCTTTCCAGTCCTAACATTTCCTGGCTCAGAGAGGGAAGGCTTCCAGCTTCCTTCTGATCAGCATGTCTACCTTTTTGAGAGGAGAAAAGAACGAATAAAAGAGAAATGCACATTCTTTAGTCCACAGGAGATTCTGGCTCTGTGAGCAGCTAGAAGGCTGAGGGCAAGATTAAGGGGAACTGGCGACTGCTCCAAAGGTTCCCAGAGCGGAGGCCCAGGGTACGTCCTGTCTGGTGGGAGTGAAGACGCCCACGTCTGGATGCCAGGTGGCCCCAGGTGACAGGCGAGGCAGGCTTGTGCATACCTGCCTGGCTCCCATGGAGCCAGTCTACCAACCACAAAGCTTGAGATCAGGGATCAGCACCTGTGCTTGTAAGTAATATCCCGGAATGCAGCCATGCCCGGGCACTTTCCATGGCCTCAGCAGGAAAGAACTAGCCACTGCTGCTTTCTAGAGGCCATGCCTCTCTTGAGCAAGAAGGCAATTACGGGCTTCCCCGGACCCTCGTCACATCAGGAGCGCTGCTCAGACAGGGCTCAGCTAGGCGAGGAGGCAGAGGATGGTGCAGGCAGAACCGGAGGGGAACAAGCTCCAGGATGCAACCACCCAGCTGTCGTCCTGAACTGGCCACAGAGCATCGTGATGGTGCAAGAGAAGGCCGACAGCAGACTGCAAAAAGTATTTCTAAACATAATTTTTCTTAAAGCAACACAAAGTCTTGGGAAAGCTGCTGAGGATGGTCTAAATTTATCCGGATCAAAGGAGACCGGCCTTTGTTCAGCAGTGTCTCCAGAAGACCAGGAATGAAAGAACCACCAGCCGCCCCTGGACACGAGCGGCGCTCCTGACCAGCAGGAGAGAGGACCTTCCTTCCCCAAGCTCCGCACAGGGGCTGGGGCAGAACGCCGAAACCTGCACCCTCCAGCCCTCTCCCTCCCACCAGCGCGGGAATTCCTGATTTGTGGCTCTTGCCCTTCCAGCACCCCACGCCCTGCAGCACTGAGGCCACTGCAGGGCACAAGTGTCCCCAGAGCAGTGCGCACAACAAAGTGTTAGAAAGCAGCGGCAGCAGCACTCACAGACCGAGGCAATGGCGAGAGGACAACCGGGCCACCACTCTAACCCCGCCTGAGCCCGCTCAGTCCCACGTTGTCATGCTGTCCGCAGGGAGCCCGCCGTCAGCCAGGCCTGGACACTGGGAACAGAGTGGCCACAGTGCAGCTGAGCCCGCGGCTAACGAGCCTGCTCTTCTTTGCGCTGGGTCTGACATCTCGGCTGAAAGCCCACCCGCACCCGAGGAGCAGACAGCTCTGAGCCGGGTGCAGTGAGCCGGTTCTCCGCTGCTCGGGCTCACTGCTCCGAGGGCTCATGCCTGTTTTCAGCTGCACCGAGCCAGCAGGGAGCCTCGTCTCCATGCAGAAGGCCTTCCTGCCAGGCTCAGTCATTCTCAACAGTGAGCAGGGCCACTTCCCCTCACCTGGGGGTCGGACCAGATGGCTTCGATGTGGATTCTAATCTTGGAATGCGGTCTGTGCCCCGGAGGTCACCGGCCTGTAGAGCCACCACAGCTGCCCGTTCTGTCAGGAACCAGCGTCTTCTCACCCAGGGCCATCGCAGCCCTCTCTGCTAGCACCCTCTACTCACTCACACGGCTTCTCTCCTCAGCCTGACCTCCGTCACAGAGCCTGCAGCCTGCCCACCCCGCCCCGCTCCACCCTCAGCTGAGCAGAACACGGTGAGTGTCGCAAGGGCTCTGGGAGGCACCCGACAGGACAGGAGAGGTGCAGCTGGCTGGTGCCTCACTGGTCAGGCTAGCCCATCGTTAAAGCACTCATTTCCAGCCCTTGCTGGTTTGGTTCAGTGGACTGAAGGGTTTCGGGTTCAAGTCCTGACCCTAATTCAAGGCATGCCAAAGGCAACCAATCAATGTGTCTCTCTCACATGGTGTTACTGTCTCTTCCTCTTCCTTCCCCTCTCTCTAAAAATCAATGGAAAAGAATATCGAGTGAGGATTTTAAAAAAGCACTCATTTCCGTGTTAACACCTCATGTCAGGACATGAGACAAAATATCCTTTTAGTTTGAGATTCACATGAACTTTAAGAAAGTCCCTATCACTATTCAGACTGGCAAGAATACAGGTGCCTAACAACACAAAGGCTATAGAATGTTTTCAACAACTTAGTCCCCAAATATTAGAAAGCTAAAGTGAGGACAGTGCTACTTTACAAACTGGAGGGAGCCGTAGGCCTTCCGAGCTTGCAGTGCCTCGCTGTGCTCTGCTGAGCCGCTCGCGCCTCTGAGCGCAGCCGGGTGTGGGGACCTGAAGCTCCGATGTCCAGGCCGATGTGTCCTGGGCAAGCCCTGCCCCAGGTGTCACTTCAGCTTGTTCTGCATTAAGAACTGGCCAGCGCTCCACAATGAGATGCACAAGCTGAGCACAGCGGCTCAGGGGAGGCCGGCAGCAGGAAGGGGAACTTGCTTTCCTTCAGCACAACTGTCTTGTGCAAAAGTGATTTCCAACCTCTACGGCTGGAAATAGCACACATCGGAATTCCCCAGCTTTCCGGTCAGATATGTTCCCCTGAGCACAGGAATGGCTCGGGACAGCCCACACAGGAGTCTAAACATCTAGGCTGGATGCTCCTTTATGCTGAGCAGCACCAATGAGCACTGAATCACATACACAGCACAGGGCAGGAAGCTCCAAAGCCGATCCCAGGAGGGTCAGTCTAACGCCAGCCCTCCACAACGCAGGGCCAAGGCTTTACCGGCACCGGCTCCACGTCACCTCACTCCCAGCAGCAGCTGGGCTCCCCTCACACCTAAAGAGTCAGCCAGGCCGGGTTTTTCTGGGCGCTGGGTGGCAGGTGGTTATTTTTAGACTTTTTCCTATGTTCTATAAGAGCATGTACTGCTTTAACATTCAGAATTACTTTTTGTACAGAAGAAAAGTGATGACGAAATTCTAGAGGACTTTTTAAAACAAACTTAAAATTCCTAATGTAATGTGGGCTGTGAGTTCCTGCAGAATGTTGTGTATAGTTTCAGACATGGGATTTGTTCAAGAAACAAAATCCCACCCACCCACCCCCGGATTCTGTTTCTGTCCTGGTATTTTTTGTTTTCTTTTCTTGCTTATCCAGCTGTACTGAAAGGACGTGGAGGCCATGTCCCAATAAGTACCAGCGTGGAGCAGTGCCAGCCCAGAGCGTGCTGTGCTCCTTCATCCCAGTCTGTGGGCTGCAGGCCGGGCCCAGGAAGAGGCGTGAGGACGGAGGAACACACCCAGGGTAACCTTAACCCTTCCCGGCTGAACACTTACAGGAAACCAGCGTGCATGGCTGCTTCCTGCAGGAAGGCCGAGCTGAAAACAACGGGAAGGCCATTGATTTCTCTGCAGTTCTTCTCGAGGTTTGTCTCACCTGCTGTAACTTTGGATACTAACACAGCCAGTCCAGTAAGCACTCAAAACTATGGGTGACATTTGAAAGCCCTCTGTGTTCCAAACCGCTCTTCAGCATTGCAATAATTGTTTAAAAGGGAAGGAAAGCTAGCACTGCATCTACCTGCAGAAGATCCTCATTACGTTCCTAAGTCCCTGACTCCAGGTAACGCAGGGGAAAGTGCGAGTTCTCTAGCAGGTTAGGCACACTCACCCTGACACTAGAGAGAGGAATGACAGTGACACCACCGACGGCCTCGTCGAAAGCATTATGAACAATTACACCACTAGGTGGGGCCAGGAGCTTGAAGCAAACCATAGGGACCATCACTCTTGGTTTAGGAATTTAAAACTTTGAAAACTAAAGAAAGTAAAAGACCAGGCATCCTCATCTGAGGAAACACGCAGTGTATAAACTCTTCCAGTCAGACTAGGCACTAGTTGTTTTTCGTGGAACTGAAGTCAAATCCCGGCAATTTTTTTTTTTAACCAACAACTACAGGGCAAACTCCTGCATCCAACGCGTCCAGCAGTAATGATTCCAGGCGGACTATGGGAGCGAGCTGGGCATCCGGGGCCAGGCGAGGAGGAGGCAGGCCCTTAGAGCTCAGTTGTCAGTAAGCACTTCTGCTTCAAGGTGGGTTCTTCGGTCACAACTGGAGCAGAGCTGAAAGGAAGACAGAATGGGTTATTCCATGAAACCCTTTGAGATAGAAACACACCCATTTCTCCACGAGTGCCACATGGAGCATGCTGACAGTAAATGACCGGTGTGGCTCAGTGGTATAGGAACTTGGACAGCCACCCATGTCGACCTATGAACCAGGAGCTCACAGTTCGGTTCCCGGTCAGAGCACATGCCCTAGTATAGGGCGTGCAGGAGGCAGCTGATCAATGATTGTCTCTCATCATTGATATTTCTATCTCTCTCTCCCTCTCCTTTCCTCTCTAAAATCAATAAAAACATCTATACAAATAAAAGGGTAATATGCTAATTAGACCGGGAGACCTTCCAGATATCCTTCCGCACAAAGCCAAGGTGGTGGGGCCTAGGCAGAGGCAGTTAGGGATGATCAGGCCAGTAGGGGGTGCAGTTGGGGGCAAACAGACTAGCAGGGGGGACAGTTGGGAGTAAACAAGCTGTCAGAGGGCCAGTTGGGGGTGATCAGGCTGGCTTGGCGGGATAGTTGGGGGCAAGCAGGCTGGCGGTGGTGGGGCGGGGAGTTAGGGGTGACCACACTGGAAGGGGGGCAGTTGGGAGTGATCAGGCCAGCAGGCAGATGAGTGGTTAGGAGCCAGTGGTCCTGGATTACAGGAGGGATGTCTGAAACTGGGATGTCTGACTGCCAGTTTCAGACATCCCCCAAAGGGTCCCAGATTGGAGAGGGTGCAGGCTGGGCTGAGGGAAAACCGCCCCCCCTCCATGCACAAATTTTGTGCACTGGGCCACTAGTATTGATATAAAATAAAATAACAAACCTAAATGACTGTGTTGTAATACTTAATTTAGCAATAAGGTATTCCACAGAAGGGAATTTTCTAGATAACTGATGCATATTTAATCTTGAAATTAAATCTAAAGATATCAATGTCTCCTGCTTCCTTGATTAACATATGCCAAGCAGATACTTGCCCATTTCTTAATGAGTCAGTTATTATGATGAATATCAAGAACAGTACTGTGCTGAGCATGACAGCAGCCTGCTTAGGAGAAACCCAGTGGGCTGTTCTGTGCTTCTTACATAGTCTCAGGTGGCTGTCCAAGTTCCTATAGCAGCAGTATGTTTTGCTAGAGCTATGTGAAAAATAAAGTATATGGCCCTGGCCCGGCTGGCTGGCTCAGTTGGTTTGAATGCCATCCAATGTGCCAAAAGGGTTGCAGGTTTGATTCTTGGTCAGGGCACATACCTAGGCTGTGGATTACATCCCAGGTGGGAGCATACAAGAGGCCACAGATCAATATTTCTCTCTCTCTAAAAACCAATGAGAACATATCCTCAGGTGAGGATTAATAAAAAATTTAATTCAATCAAAAATAAAAATATATAGGCTTTGCAAGAGTCTCTTTTGTAAGTGAAGAGCATAAATTTAGATGCAAGGATATAACATCTATTTTGGTTTAAGATAAACTTAATATCAAAACATATAGTACAAGGACCTAGATTTGATCCTTGAACAACATGGGGATAAAGGGTGTCAACTGCCACACAGTTGAAAATCTGCACATAACCTGACTCCCCAAAAACTTAATTCCAGCCCCTTGGTTTCCACTGGGGATTGGATCCAGAATCCCCATGGATACCAAAATCCAGGGATGCTCAATATTCGGACTGGCAAGAATATATATAGCACTTCTATAAAACACTATAAACAATGCATAGTTGGCACCATGCATCTGGGGATGGAAAACACTGGTTTTCATCTGAGTTTGGTCGAATCCATGGATGTGAAACTCAGGGATACCGCAGGCCGACTGTATATTTATTTTTTAACATACGCATGTAAGTAGGCAGTGCAGTTCAAACCCTGTTGTGTTCAAGGGCCAACTATAGTTTAAAATATCAAAAGTACTAACAAGATTTATAAATGAAACAGCAATTATTTATCTCACCTTCTCCATTCCTACTATACAAACACTTTCAACTGTGGGATGTTTTTTGTTTTTGGTTTTTTTCTGGAATTTTCCCTTCACTTTTCTGTATTTCTGGTTTTCTGAGTGTAGGCCCTGGAGTTTGTTATAAATGCAGATTCTTAGACATACCAACATACAGAACCAAAGAGTCTGAGGGGAGGGCCCATAACCTGTGTTCTAACTAGCCCTCTAGGTAATTCTCATGCATAACTAGAGCCAGCCCTAACTGTTCTAAGAGATGTTTCCACAATGACTTCCAACTAGAGACTATGAAAACGTAACATTCTTGCACCCCACTCACCAGCCCCACAATTCTTTGTTCTTATCTTTTCAACAGTTTATGAGAATTGTTGGCAATGCTAATATTCAGTATTTATTGTAATTATGCAAATATTGTTACAACTGAATACAGGTGCATTAAGTATTTTTTCTTGCACATTTTGTTTTCTTGGGACTGAATAACTGCCTCTTCTGTTGTGAATCACTTTCCCAGTTTTCTATCCTTGCTTCTGATTGACCCTACCCTCGCAGATAACCTTGGCTCTCTTCTGAGTAAGTCAGCCGTTTCACGTAAGCTTTAAAAACTGGGGTTAGCTGTTTTCTTGGCAACATCCCACCTGGAACTATATCCGCCTCTTCAAATCCACAAGATCTTTCCAGACCTTGGTGGGCAGCTGCCCCCTTGGACGCTGCCTCCACCTCCCTTCTGGTAATCCCCACTCCTCTGTCTCCTGGCCCCACCTAGTCTTCTTTCTTAGATAATCAGCTTGTTCTGGTGGAACACATGCTCCAATGAATAGCTTCCTGAGGAAGACCATAGGAGGAGCACCTACTCTAGAGAGAAACTCTGTGCCTATTTCGCCTAACCCCACACTTAAGTGATCATTTGGATATGAATCTCTAGGTGAGAAATGCTTTTCCTCCAGAATTCTGAAGACATTGCTCCATTATCTTCTAGCTCTAAGTCTGCTGTCATTCTGATTTCGAATCTTTCATTTGTATTCTTCCCCCCGCCCCACAGACATGTATCCTCTCTTAACTTTGATATTCTGACATTTTATGATGTTCTTGGTGTTTGTAGACAGTACCTAGGTAGGCACAAGGGCATTTCTTTAAATTGTTGTCAGCTGAGCCCGAGGCTACTGGCAGAGCCATGTCTCCGATACACATTTCCCCAAGAAGGCGGAGAGTGTTATCAGCATTGACTCACTTTTGCCCAGGTGTCATTTTGATATGTAAATCCAGTCAAGCACTAGGAATGCTCTGGCCTACTCAAGAATGCAAATAAGCTCTTTTGATCCCAAGTTTTGGTGATACTTCCTGGTATTTAGGGGTATAAAATAAATGTGCTGCATGGGCTCAGGGTCCTCACTGCCTCTCCATCAGAGAGAATGGTGTCCCACCTGGCTCCCAGCTCTATAAATCTATCTCTGGGTTTTCTTTTATTTTCTCGATCCCTGGCCGCCTCCACTTAGAACCAGTTCATTCATCTCTCTTTCCATGCTGGATGCAGAAAAGGGAGATCCCCACCATGTCTGGCCCCCCGCAGGTGTTATCTGTTTTCATTCTCTTTGCTGGGTACTCAGTAGGTCTGCTGAATGTGAAAACTCAAGTACTTCTGTTCCAGGAAATCTCGATTCCTTTTTGTGGTAATTATCTCCTGTCATTTACGCTGCTTTTTTCTCTGTGAGGAAAGCTCTTTGTGACCTGTTTAAAAAAGCTTTGCCTCTATTCAAGGCCTCAAAGATGTTTACATTGATATTTTGTTCTAAAAGCTTTATTATTTGATGTTTCATATTTAAATTTCCAATTCATCTAGTATGGATTTTTGTGTATAGTATTAGGTGAATCAAGATATTTTCCCCAAATATTAAAACACTGTAAAGATATATGTACCCATGTGTTTAGTGCAGCATTATTCAAAATAACCAAGATACAGAAACAACCTAAGTGTCCTTCAACTGATGATTAAATAAAGAATATTTTGTATATATGTAGTGGAATACTGCTCAGCCATAAAAAAAATGAAATACTGATATTTGTGATAATATGAACAGATCTTGAGAATAACATGCTAAGTGGAGTAAGTCAGATGGAAAAGAACAAGAACTGTATGATTTCATTCCTATGTAGGATATAAAACAAAAAGCAACAAGTAAACAAATAAGACAAAACAACAAGACAACAGAATGGTGGTTACCAGAGGGGAACGAGGACGAGGTGAGAACAAACTGGGTAAAGGATGTCAATATATGGTGACTTTGTGGGGTGAGCACACAAAAATCCATACGAGATGGATTGGAGATCTAAATATGAAACATCAAGTAATAAAGTTTTTAGAAGAAAATATAAGTGAACAATGGAGTATACAGATGTTGTATTATAAAGTTGCATACCTGAAACTTATGTAATGTTATTAACCAATGTTACCCAAATAAATTAAAAATTAAAAAAAAATTTCCCACATGGACATTTAACTTGTCTACCTGATTTACTAAAAGACCATTCTTTCCCCTTTAGCGTTTTTTTCATAAATCAGGTAACTGCAAACACGTTGATTTGTTTCTGGACTCTATTCCATTTCACTGATTTATTTATTTGTCATTTTTTGAATTATAATTGACATAATATATTAGTTTCCGGTATACTTCTTGTCATTTTTATCTTTCTTATTCATTTATGACTACTTTGCTTTGGGAAGGAGTACAGCTAAGCTCATTTTCATCTATAATTTTTAATTTGGAAATCCTTAAGAACTCACATTACATTGTGCAAACTCAATTACAAAGCATTATCATCTGGTCCTCTGTATGTAATCTCTATTTTTATAGTGGCAGTTACTAGGCAGATAAATGTTTAGAAAAATAACCTATTAAATTTCTCTTAAATTAACCATCTAATAATTTGTCCTCTCTAATTAGGAAATCATTTACTTCAATGACTCATATTTTCAATACTAGGACGACATGAGAAATACCAGACATAATCAGCAAAAAGTCTAAGGTGAAAATGAAGGCAATTTTAAAGCTTTTGTAAAATGAGCATAGTTTTGGTCCTAACAACTAAATTTTGAAGGACTACAGGATGAACAAAACCTCTTTGAGTCCAATTTTTCTTTGTGGCAAGTGCTATATAGAAATGAGTGTGCAACAGGTTTCAGTTCAGGCTATCTCAGAGCCTCACCTTGGCAAACTCCTACCTCCCCCTGAGCTGTGCCTCTTCACCATATTGATGGACAACAGAATGTAAAGCATGAAAGGAAGACAAACCAACTTAAAGATGCACATGTGCATAGCCCCTGGACAGACAGCAGTGCAGGAAGGCCTGGGAGGGGACAGGAGTGGGGTGGAGGACGTCAATGGGGGAAAGGGAGAGGACATGTGTAATAGTTTCAAAAATAGGTAAATTAAACACACACACACACACACACACACACACTCATACACACATTTTAAAAGATAAGCCTATAACATTTTTATCTAATGAAGATTTAATTTAAAAAGCCATAATGTCTATTTCATAATTTTGTAGAAAATTGCTACTTGTCAAGAAAAAAAACCTCACTAAATAGTAAGCAGAGAAAAGATTTATCTAATTTCAATTAAGTTCAATAAAAGAAGAATTTACATTATTGCTTCAAATATATTTAAAGTTTCCCCCCCTACTAACAGATGCCTAAAAACCGCAATTAAAAAAAAAATGTCCTTGGGAGAAACCAAGATGGTGGCATATGTAAATGCCTAACTGCAGCCTCACACAATAATTTCAAAAAAATACAACTAAAATACAAAATGGACATTATCCAGAACTACAGGAAAGTTGACTGACTGGAAATTCTACAACTAGAAGGAAAGAGAAAACCAGAAGGAAAATCAGAGGAGCTGTAAAAGCCCAAGGTACGGAGACGGAGACACATTGTGTGCGTGGAGAGGACGGAGCCGGAGAGGTGGAGGAGGCTGAGTGCATGGCTGGGGTTCCCTAGCGGGAAGGAGATAAAAGCTATGAATTGTGCTGAACCCCAGTTCCGATTGCACTGAATCCCATTTCTGGGCGAGACTCTGGGGACCCAGGCTCATACTGAGAGTCTGGGCTGTAAGGCAGAAACTCAGGGGAGCGGCAAAAGGCAGTCCCATAGGCGCACACATTACTCGCAGAGGACGGACTGTTGACTCTGTTGCCAGATTGCCCTAGCGGGAAGAAGACAAAGGCTCCGGACTGTGCTGAGCCCCAGTTCCAACCGCACTGTACCCCAGTTCTAGGCCAGACCCTGGGGACCCAGGCTCCTATGGAGGGAGTCTGGGCTGTAAGGCAGAAACTCAGGGGAGCGGCAAAAGGCAGTCCCATAGGCGCACACATTACGCGCAGAGAACGGACTTTTGACGGAAGCCAAGGCTGTAGGCTCCACCCTGAAACTCCGCCTCATCCAAGTTGAGCAAAGAGGCTTTTGAAATTTCCCAAGTCTAGTCGAATAAGGCATAGACACAGCTGATCCTCACAGCTTATTGGCCTGGAGGTCAGTTCCTCCCAGTGATACCAACAACAATCAAGACTTAACTACAACAAGGCTGTACACACAATCCACAAAACGGGGCACCAAGAGTGTCCACCTCAGGTAACTGAGAAGTTGACCCATTGAACCATATAGGACACCTTAGCACACAAAGCCACCCTACCAACTCAGGGAAGCAGAGAAAATTCCGAGACAAGGAAACAGATCACAAACGAAATAAATGGAGGACAAAAAGTGACTGGATATAGAGTTCAAAACCATGCTTATAAGGTTTTTCAAGAATTTCCTAGAAAAGGCCGATAAAATAAATGAGACCTATAAGGATATGAAAAGGGATCAACTAGAAATAATAAGGGATCAATTAGAAATAAAGAATATAATGTCTGAAATAAAAAATATTATAGAGTCCTAAAAACAGAATGGAAGATCGCAAGAATCAAGTCAAAGATTTGGAACACAAGAGCCAGAAGACACTCCTCCACAGAAGCAAGAAGGCAAGAGAATCCAGAAAGTTGAAGATAGTGTAAGAAGCCTCTGGGACAACTTCAAGCGAACCAACATCAGAATTATGGGGGTCCCAGAAGAAGAGAGAGAGCAAGATACCAAAAACATATTGAAAGAAATAGTGACAGAAAACTTCCCCCACCTGGTGAAAGGATTAGACTTACAAGTCCAGGAAGTGCACAGAACCCCAAACAAAAGGAATCCAAAGAGGACCACACCAAGACACATCATAATTAAAATTCCAAGAGCAAAAGACAAAGAGAGAATATTAAAAGCAGCAAGAGAAAAGCAGGTAGTTACCTATAAAGGAGCACCCACACAATTGTCAGCTGATTTCTCAACAGAAATCATGCAGGCCAGACGGGAATGGAAAGAAATATCAAGGTGATGAATAGCAAGAATCTACAGCCAAAAATAATCTACCCAGCAAAGCTATCACTCAGAATCAAAGGCCAGATAAAGAGCTTCATTAATAATAAAAAAAAAAAGCTAGAGGAGGTCATCACCGCCAAACCAGGATTATATGAATTGCTGAAAGGGGTTCTTTAGGAAGAGAAAGAAAATAAATATAAAAATTATGAACAACAGATATCAACAAGTGAATCTAAAAACCAAGGGAATTAAAAAATCTGATGAACAATATTAACTGGTGAATATAATATAGAATCAGAGGTATGAAAGGGGAGTGAACTGACGATTCTTGGGGAAAAGGGGAGTGGGGGGATGCGGGAAGAGATTGAACATAAACTGTGCACCTATGGATGAGGACAATGGGGGGTGGGCAAAGGGGAGGGCAATGGGGGGTGGGGAAAGGGCAGAGAGGGTGGGGTGGGAACCTGGTGGAGGGGAACAATGGAGGGGGGAAAAATGAGGAACATTTGTAATATGAACAATAAAGATTATTTTTTTAAAAATGTCCTCACCTGGTCACAGCATCCACCAAGAATGGTGCCGGGGGAGAGATCAGCGAGATCACGTCTCTACTACCAAGTCCCTCCTTCCCCACTAAGGATGGTCCATTTTCTGCGAGTCCATTGGGAAGGACACTGCTCTGCTGAGGGAGACATACAACACATGTGTGAGCAGTGGTGACAATGCTTACCCAAAGGTCAGTGCTTCAGCTCTATGTCATCTTCCTAATGATTATGGTAATGAGGATGATGGTTTTGATGATTGTGGTTGTTTTGGTTTGTTCGTTTGTTTTTAATCATCCTTTCCTTTAGATTTGTATTTTGTCCATCATTTATAAGCATTTACAAACAGAAAAGTTAAATAGCTAGTGTGAAGCTATAAGTTAGTAAACAGAATTTTGAAAATGACTCCTTGTTTTAAGGAAGAATAAGAGCCTGGTAATCCTTTAGGTCTCACTCTGAAAGGGTGACCATTAGAGAAATTGCAAATATTAACTTACTGGCACAATCCACCGGGGCGTGATCATGGATGTTGAAGATACCTGAAATAAATTACATATACGTATTTATTTTCATAATCATACTCCCCATGTTTTCTTCTACTATGAGATGCATTGGGTGGGGTAGGAGGCAGTTCTTAATGGTCCCTTGAGCTGACATAAACTTCTGAATCCAAGATCCTTTTCTACAACACAACTAATTTTGAGAATCTCTTTAATCTAAATATTTCTACTCCAAGAATGCTACTACTACTTGTAATTCATTTAATAGGACTGTCCCCCACCTCAGCATTGGTTTATTTTCTGAAGTTTCAGTTCATTACAAATAATTATAGCCTTCTTGGTAGGATTCTGAACAATGAATTATGACAAATCAAAATTAATAGCATGAAAAAGTACATAGGAAAAACATCCGTTTATACAGAGGTCATCCTCTATCATGCATTCATTAGAAAACAACAATAGAACCATCCATATTACTTCTGCTTCATAGGGCCTTTGTTAGATTTATTTCAACGTTTAATTTTCTAGATCTTACTTTTATGTGTAGAATTATAATCTAATAAACTCCCCTATTTTATAAAAACTTAGACTAGCCCTTGCAGACAGCTTTATATTCTGAAGGGGGGGAAAAAATGTAAGTCCCAATCTTAATCTACACTAATAAAAGAGAAAGATGCAAATTGACCATCACTTCTCGATGCCCACCAGCCAAACAGAAGTATGCAAACTAACCCAACAAAGATGCTGGGTTAATTTGCATATGCAGGCACGAAGCAGCCGGGGGCGGGTGGGAACATCCGCAACACGGTGTATGTTCCTGCCCAGAGGACACTTGAGTGCACGCCAGCACCAGGCTGCCTGTGTCCCAGAGACAGGCATTCTCCAGAGCCCGGCCGCTCTAGGTCCTGGAATGCTCTGGGTCTACGCAAGCAGGTGCTGAGTGGCCAGGGGTAGGGCTGGAACATCCCTGGGACCCAGGTGCTCAGAGACAGTGCACATGCAAGCGGCCAGGGGGTGGGATGGGAATGTCCCCTGAAGCCAGGCAAGCAGTTCCTGCAGGACCCCCCCAGAGAGCAGACACCAGGGCCCTGCTTGCTCCTGTGGCAGCGAACCAGAGAGAAGACAGCAGGGCCCTGCTTTCCCCTAGCCCCGGCGGCAAAGGGCAAGCAAGCCCCCGCAGAGAGCAGACACCGGGGCCTGTGGTGGCATCAAACAGGACTCAATCAGAAATAAAGCCTCTCAATAGGATTTTAAAAACAAGATGCAACAAAATCTTGTTTATAAAAGGTTTATTTAAAATCACCAGATACACAGGAAGGTTGAAAATAAAAGGACAGAAACATTATACACTAGGAAAAACAAACTTAAAAGAAAACTAGAGTGTCAATTTTATATCAATCAAGCGGGAAATTAAGAGAGAAAAAAAGGGCAAAGAAGGATACTTTAAAGTGCTTAAAAGAACTTAAGAAAGTATCATTATCATCAACATATATGCATCTCACAGCCTATCTTTAAAATGTGCAAAACAACTACTGAAAGATCTAGCAACACTTGAGAAATTAATCAATCAATAATTGTAGACAGATATTAAACACATCCTAGAAACTGACTGAATATTCCAGGAATCAGTAGATGGACTAATGAAAGAATTCAGCAAGTTTGCTAGACACAAAATCAAATTATTAATTCAACAGTAACAAATTAAATACCGTTCATAATATTAATAAAACTACATTTAGGACTTAACCTAATGAGAAATATAGAAGACTTATAAAGAACATTTAGACTCAAATAAAGGTGAGAAATTAGAAATATATCAAATTTGTGAAAATGAAGATATTTTTTAAAATGCCAGTTTTCTTTTAAAAATCTGTAAATTTAATATAGACTCCAATTTAGTGCAGGCAGATTTGAGGGGACATCTGACGTACTGATGCTAAATTTATAATTAAAGATTTACTAGATATCAGAAAATAAAAACACAATAGTACTACACTTGATCTTAGCCAAAAGGCCGAGAAGCGATGCTTGTCTCAGTTTTGGTTCTTACAAGGGTATTTCTTGGATCACATGATCTCACATCTAGAGGAAATAATGAACAACATAAACTGATGAACAAAAACAGACCCAGAGAAAGAGAAGCAGTGATCAGACTCTCAAACCTCAGAGGGAAAGTAGGGGAGGGTGGGGGTAAGGGGAAGAGATCAACCAAAGGACTTGTGTACATGCATATGGGCCTAGCCAGTGGCCATGGACAATGGGGGGGGGGGGGGCATATGTAGGGAGGGGTTTGGGATGGGAATGGGGGGATGAGGACAATTATGTGAGACCATAATCAATAAATTTTTATAAAAAAAGAAATGAAATAAAATAAAATGAAAAAACACAATAGTACTAGAGCAGGAAAAGAGGGCCCAACAATTCACTTGAGCATAAGCACTGCAGTGCAGCACCAGTGTGAACGAGCATGCCCGATGAAGATGGTTACACCCAGGCAGGTGGAGGGGATGGCACCAGATTTCATCACGCTACTCAGAATGGCATGTAACTTAAAACATGAATTGTTTATTTCTGGAATTTTCCATTTAATATTTTTGGACCATGGTTTACTGTGAGTACTAACCAAAACTTTGGACAACTGGAACTGTAAATGAGGAGGGAACTACTGTGTACAAATACTGAATTATAATGTTGTATACCTGAATCCTTTATAATAATAGAGGCACATGCAAATTGTCCAGGATTCCATAATGTCACAACCGCTTGGTAGGCTGCACACGCAGCAGGCCCCAGTTAAGGCTCCCGAGGCTTTCATCTGTCCCGTTCTACACGGAAGACAGGGTTCAAGGAGGAAGGGCTCCAGTCTAGTTTTCTTAGCACCCAGCTAGGAGGCCTCCCCGGGGTGGTTAGGACTGGGCTCCAGCCCGGCAGCCCCAAGGGGAGGAGGAGTGAAATGCTTTCCCTCGGGGACCCGCTCTCCCTGGAAGTCTGGTGCAGAGGGTGCTCTCCCTGGGAACCCGGAAATACACAGTCAACCCGGTGACTGTGCAGCAGCTGGACTGGCCAAGCTTCAGGAAAGCACCCACCCATGGGGATGTGTACTCTGGCATAGGCCACGCAGTTGCCATGGTTGAAGTGTCCTCAGTGGAGGAGCAGGGAAGTGGGGATTGGAGTTGGCCATGTCGGCAAAGGAACCCCAGCTCCCGCCGAATGACTTAGAGCACTGGGACCTCAATGGTCTTCCTGAGCAGTCAGCCCCGACCGGGATCAAACCTGAAACCTGAGTAGGAGCCTGACAGAGTGGAACTTACACCTTTGCTGTGGAGAGGAGCCCGGCCCACAGCAGGGCCAGGGCACCCAGAGGGCTGTGTTGAGGGGCCTGGCAGGCAGCCTGCAGCACAGGGGGTTAGAACTCCTCCTGATACACAGGCTGCGAGATGGATCCCGGTCAGGGCACTGACAAGAAGCAACCAAAGAGAGCATAATAATTGGAACAATATACTGGTATTTCTCTCGCTCCCTTCCTCTCTCTAAATAATCAATCAATAAAAATAAAAATAAAAAATAAACCCTTTGGCTCGCAGAATTGCTAAAACAACTGAAGGCGAAGTTGCTTGCTCTAAGTCACTAATTATCTGAGAGATGCAAATCAAAACAACACTGCGGTACCATCTCACACCTGTCAGAATGGCCAACATCAACAAATCAACAAACGACAAGTGTTGGCGAGGTTGCGGAGAAAAAGGAACCCTCGTGCACTGCTGGTGGGAATGCAGACTGGTGCAACCATTGTGGAGAACAGTGTGGAGTTTCCTCAAAAAACTGAAAATGGAACTCCCATTTGACCCAGTAATCCCACTTCTAGGAATATATCCCAATAAACTAAAAACACCAATCAGAAAGGATATATGCACCCCTATGTTCATAGCAGCACAATCTACAATAGCCAGAATTTGGAAACAGCCTAGGTGCCCGTCAGCAGATGATTGGATCCAAAAACTATGGTACATCTACACAATGGAATACTATGCTGCCATAAAAAAGAAGGAATTCTCATCATTTGCAGCAACCTGGATGGAGTTGGAGAACATCATGCTGAGTGAAATAAGCCAATCAATGAAAGAGAAACACCACATGACCTCACTCATTTGTGGATGATAAAGAACATTATAAACTGATGAACCAAAAGATAGATATAGAGACAGTATATCAACAAGTAGACTGTCAAATTACAGCAGGGAGGGGAGGAAGATCTGGGAGATAATAGATCAACCGAAGGACTTTTATACATGCATATAAGTACAACCAATGGACACAAAACTCTGGGGAGGGAGGGGATGTGTGGGAGGGAGGGAGGGAGGGGGGCAAAAAAAATCAATAAAATATATTAAAAAAAAGAAACAAACAAACAAAAATAATAATAAATAAATAAATAAATAAAAAATTTGGCTCTAAAAAAAATATTAGTAACAAACCAATTAGAAAAGGATGGATTATATAGTAGATAATAGAGAATTGGCTTTTTATAAGGATGAAAAACATAACTGGGTTATAGCAAAACCACAATTGACATCCCCTCCCCCACAAAACTCAAACTGTTCAAATGTGTGAAAATCTAAATGTGAAAGATATAATAAAATTATAGCGAGTAGAGAAAAGCAAAAGTTTCTCAGGTCCCATCTCACACCAAATCAGGAACTCAGGGTGGAGTCTAGCCATCTGTTTGCTTTTTTAAATTTTTATTATTAAAAGTATGACATATGTCCACTTTTTTCACCATTGTCTTCTTCTAGTCCACCCTTATCCCTTTACACCCTATTGTCTGTGTCCATGGGTTATGCATATATGTATACAAGTTCTTTGGTTGATTGGTCTCCCCCACATTCCCTCTGAGATTCGACAGTCTGTTCCATGATTCTATGTCTCTGGATCTATTTTGTTCATCAGTTTATTTTGTTCATTAATTTCCACAAATGAGTAAGATCATGTGATACTTGTCCCTCTCTGACTGACTTATTTTGCTTAATATATTACTCTCCAGGTCCCTCCTTGCTCTCTCAAAGGGTAAGAGATCCTCCTTTTTCACTACTGCATAGTATCCCATGGTATAAATGTACCATGGCTTTTTTATCCACTCATCTACTAATGGGCACTTAGGCTTTTCCCAGATCTTAGCTATTATAAATTGCGCTGCTATGAAAATAGGAATATGCATACATTCTTTCTGATTGGTGTTTCGGGTTCCGTAGGATATATTCCTAGAAGTGGGATCACTAGGTCAAATGGCAGTTCCATATTTAATTTTTTGAGGAAACGCTATACTGTTTTCCACAGTGACTGCACCAGTCTGCATTCCCACCAGCAGTGTACTAAGGTTCCATTTTCTCCACATCCTCACCAACACTATCATTTGTTGATGGTAGCCATTCTAACAGGCGTGAGGTGATACCTCATTATCATTTTAATTTGCATCTCCGATGATCAGTGACTGCGCATTTTTTCATATCTGTTGACCATCTGTATGTCCTTTGGGGTAGTGTCTATTTAGGTCCTTTGCCCATTTTCTTATTGGACTGTCTTCCTTTTGTCAAGTTGTATGAGTATCTTAAATATATTGGATATTAACCCTTTACCAGATTTTTTTTTTTTTTTTTTTTTTTTTTTTTTTAAATATATTTTATTGATTTTTTGCAGAGAGGAAGGGAGAGAGATAGAGAGCTAGAAACGTCGATGAGAGAGAAACATCGACCAGCTGCCTCTTGCACACCCCCTACCGGGGATGTGCCAGCAACCAATGTACATGCCCCTGACCGGAATCGAACCTGGGACCTTTCAGTCCGCAGACCGACGCTCTACCACTGAGCCAAACTGGTTTCGACCCTTTACCAGATTTATCATTGTCAAATATGTTCTCCCTTAGAGTGGGTTCCCTTTTCATTTTGTTTACGGTTTTCTTTTTATTTTGATGTAGTCCCAATTTATTTTCTCCTTAAGTTTCTCTTGCCCTAGGAGATATATCTGTAAAGATATTGCTATGAGAGATGTCTGATATTTTGCTGCCTATGGTTTCTTCTAGGATTTTTGTGGTTTCATGACTTACATTTAAGTCTTTTATCCATTTTGAGTTTATTCTTGTGTATGGTCTAAGTTGGTGTCTAGTTTCATTTTTGCATGTATCTGTTCAATTCTCCCAACACCATTTATTGAAGAGACTGTCTTGACTCTATTGTATGCTCTTGCCTCCTTTGTCAAATATTGAGCGTATTGGCTTGGGTTGATTTCTGGGGTCTCTATTCTGATCCACTGATAGATATGCCTGCTCTTGTGCCAGTAACAGTGGCTTTGTAGTGTAACCTGATATTTGGTATTTTGATCCCTTATTTGTTCTACTTTCTCAAGATTGCTGCAGCTATTTGAGGACTTTTTATGGTTCCATATAATTTTTTAAAGTATTTATTCTAGATCTGTGAAATATGCCATTGGTATTTTAATAGGGATTGTGTTGAATCTATAGATTATTTTGGGTAGTATGGACATTTTAATTATGTTAATTCTACCAATCCATGAATATAGTATATTCTTCCACTTGTTTATATCTTCCTTTCTCTCTTTTTTCAATGTTCTGTAGTTTTCCAAGTCTTTTACCTCCTTGGTTAAGTTTATTCCTAAGTATTTTAATTTTTTTGTTGCATTGGTAAATGGGATTTTTGTTTGTTTGTTTCTCTTTTTGAAAGTTCATTATTGGTATAAAAAAAAAATGCCATCAATTTCTGGGTGTTAATTTTGTATCCTGCTACGTTGCCGAGTTCATTTAATATATCAAGTAGTTTTTTTGTGAAGTCGTTAGGGTTTTCTATGTACAGTATCATGTCATCTTATATAATAAAAGGATAATATGCAAATAGACTGAATAGCAGAACAACTGAAAAACCAATCAAAGCATAATATGCTGATATGCTACCGCTTCTTAACTGCTCACTATAACGTGTACTGACCACCAGGGGGTAGTCAACTGGTCAACCAGTTGCTCTGATGTGCACAAACACCAGGGGGCAGTCAACTGGTTGACCAGTCGCTATACGTGCACTGACCACCAGGGGGCAGATGCTCTGGCTGGTAGGTTAGCTTGCTGTTGGGGTCCGGCTGATCGGGACTGAGCTAGATGGGGCAGACATGCCCTGGAGCCCTCCCACTGTCCCTCCCCGGCCCGATAGTGCACCAGTGGGGTCCTTCTGCCTGGCTTGTGCCCTCTTGCAATCCGGGATCCCTAGGGGGATATTGGAGAGCCAGTTTCAGCCTGATCCCACAGACCACTCCCCTTGGGAGGGTGCCAGACACAGGGCTCATGGCTGGGGAGCACTGCTGCACCAGTGCAAACCTCTCCTGATCGGGGACTGATTGGGCTTGAGCCTGCAGCAGGCACAGTGGGTCTGGATGAACAAGAGCGGCAGGTAGGAGCTGCAGATGGCATTGGACTGTGGGTTTTGGCCTGATCCCTGCAGCCATCTAGAGGGACCCTACCCATGCACAAATTCATGCACCGGGCCTCTAGTCTACAAATAAATGAGTTTTACTTCCTCCTTTCCTTAGCCATCTGTTTTAATCACTGGCAGGATGATTCTGTTACACATTCAAGTTTGAGAACTAGTAATCTAAGCAAACATTCAGCACTATAGGCAGTACCATCTTCCAAGCCTTCAGAATTTCTAGTTCCTACAGCAATTTTGTCACAATATTCATAAATCTCTAAATTAGTTATCTGTATACAGTTCACCCACTAGACTGTAAGTCTCTGGTGAGAAGGAACTATTGTATTATGATCATAGTACTTAACACAGTATCTCCCATACTACAATAATGATCAATATGTTCAATGCCACCCATTTTTATATTCCCACCTTTCTGAAAATATTTTTAAAAATTAAATATATCCATATTTTCTTCATTCTTTTAAAAAATATAATTTGTATTGATTTTAGAGAGGGAGAGACAGAAACAGCAATGATAAGAGAGAATCATTGATCAGCTGCCTCCTGCATGCCCCCCACTGGGAATTGAGCCCACAACCTGGGTATGTGCCCTGACCTCCTGCTTCATGGGTCGACATTCATCCACTGAGTTACACTGGCTGGACTGTCTTAACTCTTTTGAAGCTGGTTTATCATCCATTTTCTCTATGTTATTTACATTATGCTACTGAATTACAAATAGGCATATAGTAGTGACACGCACAATCAAATTGGTAGAGTTTTATAGTACAGAAAAGGCAATGCTAATGCTAAGTGTTACTGAAATATGATCTCTTATTATGTGTGAAGTTTTACCAAATTGTTAAAAAGGCCAAAATTGGAATATAGCAGCAAATTTGCAAAATAGATTTTTTTTTTTCCATTTTGGTATTTTAAAGCATATTTACCTGAGGTGTGACTGTATTGTCAATCAGATTCTCAGTTAGAGATAAAAACAAGGCATCAAATTCATCTGTAGCATCCTATGGAGATAAAATATATATAGTTGATAAATGACCCACTAATCAGACTACTTTTTCTTTATCCTCTCAATTTATCATTCTGACCAAGGCCTGATTGGTTTAACCTTTAAACAAACAGGGACATTCAGGAATCAAGCTTACTAATGCTTCCACTTTTGCTAGGAGGGGAACCTGGACTATAATCAGAATTTTAAAAAGCTAGGCATTATGTGAATTTGCAGATTAGCCATTCCTTCTGGTGAGACAAAATTTGGGTAGGGTTAAGACTGTTCTGGTTCTTTTTCATTTTTTAATCCTCACTTGAGGATATGTTTTTCATTGATGAGAGAAGGGAAGGACGGAGAGCGAGAGCGACACCGATCAGTTGCCTCATGAACACACCCCAACAGAGGATGGAATCCACAACCTGGGTAAAGTGCCCTGACCTGGAATTGAACCCACAATCCTTAGGTGCATGGGGTGATGCTCTAACAACTGAGCAGCACTGGCCAGGGCTGTTCTGGCTCTTAGTCTAGACTAGAAAGTTTAGCACAGAAGAAAGATGAGTAAAGAGATGCCTGAATTCTATTGATAAATGCTTCTTTATCCAGAGATATGAAAACTTCACTATTTTTGGAGAGGTCAGTATGAGCTTCCCCATAAATATTAATTAACACTTTTTAACTAGTATTTGAAGCACTTTCTGGAAAACACAATTTCTATACTGCAGAGTGTGTGTGTGTGTGTGTGTGTGTGTGTGCATGAGTGTGTGTGTGCGGGGGGGGAGGCAGGAAGAATTTTAAAAGTACAAAAGAGCCAAAACTGGGATAGAGTGTTGGCCTGCGGATTGAAAGGTCCCAGGTTCGATTTTGGTCAAGGGCATGTACCTTGGTTGCGGGCACATCCCCAGTAGGGGGTGTGCAAGAGGCAGCTGATAGATGATTCTCTCTCTTTGATGTTTCTAACTCTATCCCTTTGTCTTCCTCTCTATAAAAAAAAAAAAATCAATAAAAATATATTTTAAAAAATAAAAAAAATAAAAGTACAAAAGATAAAATTCCAATCTGGAAATAAGAGAAATAAGTATCTAATGTGTAGTACATAACAAAAAAAGCCCTCCATTTATACAATTCTATTTCTATCTACCTGCTTTCAGGCCAACTTTAATTACACACATGAAAAATTATTCTCTCTCCTCTTAGGTCTCCCTCCTCCTAGCTCACCCATCCCACCCTCTGGCCTGGTTGAGTGCCCCAAAACAGCTTGTGCATGTCCTACCATAGGCATTAACATTCTCTCTCCCTTTCTATAATTCTGACCGAGGCCTGATTGCTGTTAACTATGTTTCAATCTATTTTAATTTCCAAAGCTTAGCATGCTGTCTAGTGTATATTATATATGCAATAAATGTTTGAACTAAATGCCCTGTTCCAAAAATCTCAGGTTTCATCAACAATTTTCAATGGTCAAAGATGTCAATATATCGTTTTAGAATTTTAATTATCAGAAAGAAAGATCCTGGTTGTTTGTTCATTTAACCCAAAAGTCTGAGAAGTTATACATCCAAATATTAACTACACTGTTTTTGGGGTAGTGGGAATACATGTGATTTCTAATTTTTTCTTTTTTGAAATATTTGAGAAATTACTATAATAAATATGCTTATATAATAGAAGAGCAAAATGATAAATGCTATTTTTGAGAATAACTTTTCATTTAACTTGCAAATTAAAACATTCACTGGGCAATGAACTAGGTTTCAATGTTTCCTGAACTGGTAAGGGTGTGGCAAGAGGGTATAGGAATAGCAGGAGCTGTGATGAGCTAGCCACACTGCAACACAATGACAGGATGCTGTTATTTCAGAAAGTTCATTTCAATGAATAGTTAGTGCTTACTATATGCCATGTACAGTTTGAGACACTAAGGAAGCATAGCCAGTACCCAAAAAAGCAAAAATACAAAGACCACCCCAAGCCGAAAATACCAATAAATAACACAGAAACTGGAGGAAATCCCTGAGAGCCTCTGGTGAGGGATTTGACAATAGGACTCTCCCTAGAGAATTCAGGCTCAGTGCTTTTCTCGAAGCTTGAGTTCTGGTGTGAATCACAGTCACCAGATGCCCACAGGATTCAAGTATGGTCTTTGGGAAAACCTTTAAAAGATTAAGATACTGTTACCTTTAGAACAGAACCATTTCCTGTAGGTGTGCTGTGCGCTGGAGCAAGGGAATCTTCAGAGAGGAGCACATTATTCTCACTTCCTACAGCCCTGGAAAGAAAATACAAATTCACATCATGAGGTCTGTCTGAGCATGGGCAGTGTTTTCAAAGAAAGGCCTTGGGAAAGAAGTGTAACAAATCCATGTGGGAGAAGAAGAAATTCAATTTGTGAGGAGCATGACAGAAGTCCAGGTCACGCTCATATGCTTTTATGAAACCCTTTCCCAACCATCCCTTAACAGTTTCAAATCCAGGTCACACTCACTCACAGATGGATCAAAATTGTGGGCTACTTTGCTTCCCTCCTAAGTCTCACTGAAGGACAGAAAAGATTTATCTTGAGAAGAAAAGCAGATAAACAAAATTGATAAATAGACTGATTTTTTTTAAAAGCTGTTACCAAAAACATGAATGAGAAGCTCAGTGGAACAGAAATCATACAGAAAGCATGAGATATCAGAGAAGAGTCAGGAACCATCAGAAGCCCCCATTTGAGGACACAGGCTGGAGAGCTCTGCTGAGAAAGAAGCAACATCTAGAGTGCTCCAGGCATTGCAACAGGACCAGATGAGAGGATGCCAGAGATGGTTGGTTACCTGCAGGCCCGGCACAATGACAAGCAGGTCTACCCCAGATGAGAACAAGAATAGGAGCAGTCGTACAGATGGCTCAACACCAGGGACAAAGGGAGGTCATCCTCCATTAAGCTCACGCCCCAAGCAGGAAATCCCAGCCTTCCCAGTATCACTGAAACGTGTGCAAGCGACAGGAGCAGTTCCGTCCAATCCTGCAAGGAGACTGGGGAAAACAGGAGATAGACCCTAGACTGGAAAAGTCAGATGTAATTTCTGAAGTGAAAGCTAGAATGGTTGCAGCCATTAACACTGAGGCAAATAGAGGCAAAGAGATGGAAAGAAATAAGGAACAGTTGTGAGAGACAAGTAATCAGAATATTTCAACTAATGGATAGTGGATATTCAAAAAACAATGGCTTATGATTTTCTGAGTTGAAAAAAGACATTGATCTTCAAATTTAAAGACCACCTTGAATACTAACAATTGAAAAAAACAACAACACCTATTCTTAGGTATACAGTAATGAAAATGCAGAACCTCAAGAATGAGCAGTAAAACCTGAGTTACCAGAGAGAAAAATAGCTTTGTGTTTCAGAAAGAAGCAGTTTCAGACAAAAGGAGTTGATATGAGAAATGGGAGTATTAAAAGAAGTAATGCTTTACAATGAATTCTCCCAACACTTCAGCAAAAGATTGGTCCTGGCCGAAACCGGTTTGGCTCAATGGATAGAGCGTCAGCTTGGGGACTGAAAGGTCCTGGGTTCGATTCCGGTCAAGGGCATATGTACCTTGGTTGTGGACATATCCACAGTAGGGGCTATGCAAGAGGCAGCTGATCGATGACTCTCTCTCATCGATGTTTCTAACTCTCTATCTGTCTCCCTTCCTCTCTGTACAAAATCAATAAAATATAATAATAAAAAAAAAGATTGGTCCTGGACAGCTTACACTGCTGCCCAACACGGAAAGAAGCACATGTGAAGCTTCTGCTCCATTCTGCTCAGCATGTGTCATGACCCAGCAATTCCACTCATAGGCATACACCCTAAAGCAGTGGTCACCAACCTTTAAGACCTCACGGATCACCAATGGTCCATGGACCACTGGTTGGTGACTGCTGACCTAAAGAATCTCTCAGTACTTGTATACGGAGGAGCACACACAATGTTAACTTGGAACAAGCATTTGCCCATTAATAAAAATGAATATGGTATGCTGGACTCATGTAATGGCAGTTAATATGAAGGGCCCATAGATAATTTTTATTTTTATTTATTTTTTTATATCAATCTTTATTGTTCATATTATTACAAAGGTTCCTCATTTCTCCCCCCTTCCATAGATAATTTTTAAATACAAATATGTCAAAATGAAAACCACTGAATTGTACACTTTACCTACTTTATTCTTTTTAAACATAACTTGTGTCCCCTGAATTGTACACTTTAAATGGATGAATTGTACACTTGAAAAGGGTGAATAATAAAAGCCAGGGTTGTAACTTGTAACAACCAATCACCACCAAAGGCTGGAAGTCAGTGCAGGGTTACCGTGGAGACTTTAACAGCCTGCCACATGCTGTGGGCTCCACTGGTCAGCTCCCCCCAGCCCATAGAAGGCTGGCGAACTGCAGTGAGCCCAGGCCCAGCCACCCCAGGATCACAGGCAAACAGGCCAGGCCAAGCCGCCCCATGATCACAGCGTGAAGAGCCCAGGCCTAACTGCCCGCGATCACGGGGTGAACCGGCCAGGTCCACCCTGGCCAAGCTACCTGCAATCCCAGGTGAAAAAGCCACTCCACTGACCGCCCTGCATGTGGCGCGGAGTCCAGGGCCTCTAGCCTGCAGCCATGAGAAGTCTCCCTCTCCCCAGAGTTAGGAGCACCAGCCCAGGTCTACCCAGCGGCCTGGTCCTGACTGAGGAGTGAGTTCCTGCAGGCTGGGGTTTGATCCTACACATTAGCAGTAGGAGACAGTGCCTCTGTTATTGCTGTGTGTCCGGGTTTTAATTGGACAAATGCCTGGCATCCCAGGCGCCAGCTTAGCAAAATCTTTTAGGAGAATTCCGTCCGGGTTTCCTCAAATTCCCTCAGCCCCTACGAACCTCTCTGTAAAGGCCCAGACAAGTGAGGCCCTTAAATAACAATCAGAGTCTCCAGCAACATGGGCCTCTCTCATCACAGTCATTTGGACTGGATGGCTTTGAATATTTATTTGGACTCCATGACAGAGAAACACAAGCTCAAGTCATAATCTCTGCCCTTAAAACATTCACAATCTTATTAGAGCGAGTGGATGATAAAAGTGCAGTAATAGCATCAGAATGTAAGGCAACAATACAGAGAGGAACAGAGGCAATTGCTAGGATGATTTTCCAATAATTAATACAGAGAGTATGTGCTGTGAATTAAAAAAAAAATTGGTGGAAGTAGCTGCTTCATGAGTATGGCATCCCTTCCCATTTTAAAGGAGGCTGAGTTCCACGTGAACTGTGTACTATGCTATGACATCTGCGGCACAGGACAAGGGAGGCCCTAAGTGTAATATGCTTTGATATTCGAGTCATTCTTTCTTGTTCAATGTGATTTATTTTTCTAGGCTTCAGTTCTGTAATAGTTAAATTCTAGAATAATACGTCTTGCTATAAAATATTACTAGAAGATCAAAAGATCAGGTGACATTTATTGTTATTTTCTATAAATGAACACAATCTCTGGTATGGTAAAATGATATGTATTATAGAAATAAGCAGATAGGGAGACCTACAGGCTTGATTACAAGTGAGGCTTACTATCACAACCCAAATTCATTCCTTAAAAAAAAAAAGCAGGGAGCCAACTAGAAACTGAACCAAATATAAGCTCTTGAAGGGCAAATGTAAATAGGATAAGCTTTGCTATTATAAGAGCAAGAAGAAAAAATTTAGATGCAAGAATGAAAACCACATTGCATCCACTCTAAGCAGCTGTTAAAAAAAAGAATGATATACTACGAAAATACTTAATATATATTGTAAAGACATTTGTTCAAAGGATTTCCTAGAGTAGGTGATATTTTGGTTAATTTTTTTTAAATGTGAAGAGGTTAGCTAGATAAGAAACAGGTGTAGGGGTCCAAATTGCAGAGGGTGCAGGAAGGGCTGAGGGACCCCCCCTCCATGCATGAATTTTGTGCACTGGGCCTCTAGTTTATTATATTTGCTAAAGCTGTTACTAAAGAATTAATGATCTGAATAGACATTTCTTCAAAGAAGAAAAGATGTTAACATCTTCAGTCCTTAGATAAATGAAAACCAAAACCTCAATGAGACACCACTTCATACTCACTGATATGAGTATATTTTTTAAAATGGAGAATATTAAGCACTGACAAAGCTATGGAGAAACTGGAACATTCATATCTTGCTGGTGAGAGTGAAAAATATTGGAGCTGTTTTGGAAGACAATTTGGTAGTTCCTCAAAAAGTGAAACATTATCATGTGCTCAGCAATACCCCTCCTGGGTATATATTAAAGAGAACTGAAAGCATGGCTATAAAAATTCTTAGAAGTGATTGTCCATAGCAGCTTTATTCATAATAGACAAAAGTGGAAACATCATAAATGTCCATCAGTTGATACATGGATAAATCAAATGTGGTATATCGATACAATGGAATATTACCCTATATAATAAAAGCCTAATACTCAATTCAACCTATCGGTGAAACAACTGGAATGACCAGTTGTTATGACATGCACTGACCACCAGGGGGGCAGACGCTCAACACAGGAGCCCCCAGCCAACAGGCCCCAGGCCAGCCAAGGTGGGTGCCAGCGGGGGTCCCCCTGATCGCTCCGCTGGTGGCCCCACAGATTGGCCCTGATTGCCGGCCAGACCTAGGCACTCTACCCATGCATGAATTTCATGCACTGGGCCTCTAGTTCAGCCATAAAAAAGGATGAAGTACTAATATGTATTATTATATGGATGATCCTCTTACTAGTAAGTGAAAGAAGTCAGATACAAAAGGCCACATATTGTACACTTCCATTTACATGAATTGTCCAGAGTAGGAAATTCCAATAGAGGCAGAAAGTAAAATAGTGGTTGCCAGGGGCTGGGACAGGAGTGGAGATGGGGATGGGGAAAAATGTGGGGATCAAATGGGTATAGTGGTGCTTTCAGGGACGATGATAATATTATGGAATTAGATAGTATATACAGCGGTAATAGTTGCAAAACTTTGTTAGTCTACTAAAATGCACTGAATTGTGTATTTTGAAAGGGTCAATTTTAAGTTTTATGATATGGGAACTACAACTTAATACAAAGATAAAAGAAAAATGGTCAAAATCTAAAATAGCAAAATATGAAGATGTGACAAAGCTTGATATTTGGTACACAAATACTTTTTATATAATCTCCATAGTTTTCTCTATGCCTGAAATAATTCATTTCTAAAAAGGGGATACAGTAATTTTTTAAGTGTACAATTTAACAGAAAAGGGAAAGGTCTAGAAATAAACCCATGTTTAAACAAGAACTTAGTATATATTATTTTATTTTTTTCCTATTCATTGAGTTTATTGGGGTGATACTAGTTAACAAAGTATACAGGTGCATAATTCTGTAACACATCATCTGTATGCTGTATTGTGTGTTCAACACCCCAAGTCAAGTCTCCCTCCATCACCATTTATCCCCCCATATGCTCTCCTTGACCTCTCTTCACTACCTCTTTCTCCTACCCCTGGCAATCAACACATTATTTTCCCTGTCCATGAGTGGTTTTTTTTTTTTTTTTTTTTTTTTTACTATTTTGCTCAATTCCACCACACACACAATTGTCAGCCTGTTCTCTATCTATAAGTCTGTCACTATTTTGCTTGCTATTTTATTTTGTTCATTAGATTCCACATATGAGTGAAATCATATGATACTTGTCTTTCTCTGTCTGGATTATTTCACTTAGCATAATGCTCTCCAGGTCCATCCATGATTTTACAAGTAGTAAGATTTCCTTCCTTTTTATGGCTGAGTAGAATTCTATTGTATAACATACACAGCTTTTTTGTCCACTCATCTACTGATGGACCCTTGGGCTGCTTCTAAATCTTGACTATTGTAAGTAACACTGCAATGAACATAGGGTTGTATATATTCTTTTGAATTAGTGTTATGAGTTTCTTTGGATAAATTTCCAGAAGTGGAATAGCTGGGTCATAAGGCAGTTCCATTTTTAATTTTTTGAGGAAACTTCACACTGCTTACCACAGTGGCTGCACCAATCTGCATTCCCACCAACAGTGCACAAGGGGTCCCGTTTCTCCACATCCTTACTAACACTTGTTTTTGGTTGATTTATTGAGGATAGCAAGTCTGACAGGTGTGAGGTAATATCTCATCATGGTTTTAATTTGGATTTCTCTGATGATTAGTGATGCTGAGCATCTTTTCATGTGCCTGTTGGCCATCTGTATGTCTTCTTAGAGAAGTGGCTATTTAGGTCCTTTGCCTATTATTTAATGAGATTGTTTTTCTGGTGTTGTGTTTTATATGTTCTGTAATATGTGTTCTCATTCAATAGGCTATCTTTTCATTTTGTTGATGGCTTCCTTTGCTGTGCAAAAACTTCTTAGTTTGATGTAGTTCTGTTTATTTTTTCATTTGTTTCCCTTTGCCAAGGAGTTATAACTAAAAAAATATTGCTATGAGAAATATCTGAGATTTTACTGCCTATGATTTCTTCTAGGATTTTTGTGGTTTCAAGTCTAACATTTTAATCTTTAGTCCATTTTGAGTTTATTCTTGTGTGTGATATAAGAAGGTGGAATAATTTAATTTTTTGCACTTATCTAATTTTTCTAATACCATTAAAATATTTTTTAATTGATTTTAAAGAGGAAGGAAAAATAAATAAATAAATAAATAAATAAATAAATAAATTTAAAAAAAAAAAAAAAAAGGAAGGGAGAAGGAGAAAGAGATAGAAACATCAATGATGAGAGAGAATCACTGATGGGCTGCCTCTTGCATGCCCCACACTGGGGGCATGTGCCCTTGACCAGAATTGAACCCAGGATCCTTTAGTCCATAGGCCGAAGCTCTATCCACTGAGCCAAACTAACTAGGACCCAACACCATTTATTGAACAGACCATCTTTACCCCTCTGTATGTTTTTGCCTCCTTTGTCAAATATGGACTATAAAAATGTGGGTTAATTTCTGAGCTCTCTATTCTGTTCCATTGGTCTGTATGTCTATATTTTATGCCAGTATCAAGCTACTTTGATTACTATGGCCTTGTAGTATAGGTTGACATTAGGTAATATGAATCCTACAACTTTGTTCTTTTTCAGCATTGCTGTGGCTATTTGGGGTCTTTTGTGGTTCCATACAAATTTTTGGAATATTTCTTCTAGTTCTGTGCAAGACATCATTGTTATCTTGATAGGAAATGCATTGAATATATAGGCTGTTTTGGATAGTATGAACATTTTAATGATGTTAATTTTTCCTCTCCATGAGCACAGTATTTGTATACTCTTCAATTTCTTTCTTCAGTTTCTTTTAATATTCTGAGTACAGGCAGGTCTTTTACATCCTTGATTGAATTTATTCCTAGGTATTTTATTCTTTTTGAAGGAATTATGAATGAGCTTGTTTTCTTAGTTTCCCTTTGTGATAGTTCATAATCAATGTATAAAAATGCAACTGATTTCTAGATATTTATTTTGTATTCTGCTATTTTACTGAATTATGTACAGTTATAGTTTTTTGTTGTTGTTGTTCTCTGTATACAGTATCATGTCATCTGCAAATTAATGACAATATTCTTTCTTCTTTTCAAATTTAGGTGCTTTTTATTTCTTTTTATTGTCTGATTGCTGTGGCTAGCACATCCAGTACCATACTGAATAAAACTGGTGAAAGTGGTCATTCCTGTCTTGTTCCTGATCTTAACTAAGGTAAACACTTTAGTTTTTGCCCAATGAGCAAAACTTAGTATATTATATTTTAAAGGATGCATTTCAAATCCTGGCAGGAAAAAAAATATTGAAAATATCAACAACCGCTAGAGAAAAGTAAATCTGGAAGTAAAGTGGTGTACATTCTATGCTCTTCCCAGCTTTTAGAGTTCAATGAAACTGGGCCATTATCTTCCTCTTAGGGAAAAAAAAAAAAGTTAATGAGGTTATTCTAAAAAGGCTCCAATAATAATAGTATTAAAAATTTCAACTGATTTATTAGAATTAACTTAAAGGTTAAGTTGAAATTTCAGTTTTACCCCAATCACCAATTAATATGTTTGTTGAACCCTAATTATAAAGTCCTATATACAAAGCCTGCTATATTCTTAAGTGCTATGTTGATTACAGTATCTGGAATCAAATATAACTAATCAAGAAATGCTCCACTAAGTTTTGAATAATGAGAAAAAAGCAGCATTCATTCATTCAACAATGTTTAGCACCAACTAAGTACAGAACATTGAATACAAATTGGCATAGAGCAAGGAAAAAGCCCAGAGACAAATAAATGACATAATACCCATTTAAAAAGAGAGAGGCACAAAGGACTGCAAAAGAAAAGCAAAGAAAATGAGAACCTATAGTAAGAAAGTTTATAAGAATGAGGCCATTGGGATGACAGGAAAGTTTACTACCATACCCAAGAGAAATAATATACATTCCTCCCACACACCTAATAAGATTAAAAATACCTGTAGAGGTTGTTTTTGCTTTGTAACTTCAATCAATTTAAAAAGAATGAGAACATAGTGAGATTAATTAGGACTATCTTCAAATAATCTCAAACTAGGTACTAAGTAGCTATGTAAAGGATGGAAGAGGGAATTCAAGTTGTCTTTCAAATAGGTACCCTGAAATCAGGTGGTGATAGATTGGAAATGAAGAAAAAAGGCTACACAGAAAAGTTAAGAGGAAAAGAACATCATTGAATTCAGTATAATCATGTGGTGATATTAAATAGATTGGAGAATAGGGAAAAAGGCCCCCCAAAAAAGTGAAGAGGAAAAAAAATCACTTAATTCACTTTACCCAGAACTGTACCTGTCTGTGGCAGCATCCTGAACATTGGCATTTTTATGACTCAATAGGCTATCTTCTCTTGTAACCTGAGAAAAAGAAATAGTACACATTGCCCTAGCCAGTTTGGCTTAGTGGATAGAGCGTCGGCCGGCAGACCAAAGAGTTCTGGGTTTGATTCCAGTCAAGGGCATGTACTTTGGTTGCAGGTTCCTTCCTGGCCAGGTCCTGGTTGGGACACATGCAGGAGGCAACCAATCCATGTGTTTCTCTCACATCGGTCTCTCAATGTCTTTCTCTTTCTCCACTCTCTCTAAAAGATCATTGGAAAAATATCCTCAAGAGAGGGTTAACAAAAACAAAACAAACAAAAAGATTATAAACATTAAATCTTTGTAGAGGACAGTAAAGTAACAAGAAACTTAAATTTCTTTCCTGTAAAAACAGAAATATCAGTTTGCTTCAGTTCCTAAAGAGGTAATCATACTTATCTATGGAAATATCAGTAATGCACCGAGTGCAATCTTATCCCATATCCAAATTAATAATCCACGCTTCTACTTGGATATATTAGTTTACAAAGCTACATGCTTTACTAGATAACTTTCAATTGTTTTAAGACACAATGGTGTGTTAGTGTATAGATACAGTTTCCCAAAAGATTCCATGTCAGAATTTTTTGAATTTACATGATAAAACAGATGCTAAGGTATATATTTGGCTTTTCATTTTTCCCTGAATGCAAGAATTATTTAATAAGAGAATTCTAAATATATTTTTTTGAAGAAATCAATGTTTTTCCTTAACTTTATTGAGGTCTCATTTATATATAGTAAAATGCAAACATTTTAAATGTACAGTTTAATTTTAAAATATATATAAAGGTGCCTAACCAACTCTACAACGAATATATGTAACATTTGCACCACCTCCAAAATGATCCCTGAGGCTTCCAACACAATACCAGCAAAACCCTTACTATAGCAAACACGACTTGTACTTTCTATAGTTCATATAAATGAAGTCATTATGTTTAAATTTTGTGTCTGCCTCTTTAGCATGTTTTTGAGATTCACCCTTGATAGTTCACTTATCACTAATTCTTTTTTTATATCTATTTTACTATTATTTATTTATTTACATTCTTTTTATTAATTATCTGTGTACATATTTTAACATTGCCCCCCCATTACCCCCCCCCCCCAGTTTTGTGTCCATTGGTTGTACTTATATGCATGTATACAAGTCCTTCGGTTGATCTATTATCTCCCCCAGATCTCCCTATCCTCCCCGTTGTAATTTGACAGTCTGCTTGTTGCTTTACTGTCTCTATATCTATCTTTTGGTTCATCAGTTTATAATGTCTTTATTATCCATAAATGAGTGAGGTCATGTGGTGTTTCTCTTTCATTGATTGGCTTATTTCACTCAGCATGATGTTCTCCAATTCTATCCAGGTTGCTGCAAATGATGAGAATTCCTTCTTTTTTATGGCAGCATAGTATTCCATTGTGTAGATATACCATGGTTTTTTGATCCAATCATCTGCTGACGGGCACCTAGGCTGTTTCCAAATTCTAGCTATTGTAGATTGTGCTGCTATGAACATATATTGCTGTGAGTTTTTATCATGAAGGGGGGTTGCATTCTGTGAAACGATTTTTCCATAGGACTTGAGAAAAATTTATTTTTTAACATGGTAAACTATACTGGTGTTTAAATAACCAACTTTCTTCCTGAGATAAACCCTATGTGGTTAGGATGCACTATCCCTTTACATAAATTGTGAGTATGATTTATTTATATTTTGTTAAGGACTTTTGAGTCCATGTTCAAGAGAGTTAGTCTATTGTTTCTTTTTTGTCATGTTTTTCTGTTGGTATTGGGATAATAATAGTCTCATAAAATGAGTTGGAAAGTGTTCCCTCCTCTGTATTTTCTTAAAGCCTTTGTGTAGAATTGTCATTAGTTCTTCCATAAATGTTCAGTAGATTTCAATAATGAAGTTATCTGGTCCTGGATTTTTCTTCATTGTAAGGTTTTAAACTACAAAATAAAATCTCTTTAATTAAGGGCTAGTCAAGTTATTTCTCTCTTCTGCAATTCAAAAATATCCAAAAATATAACTGAAATGTCAAGCAATGAAAAGTACTACCACTACTACTACATGTAGTTCCAACATGTATTAAACGCACATTATGTGCCAGGCACTATTCTGTGTCCTTTACATTTACTATCATTTCATCCTTGTAACCTACCTTAAGGTAGGTAGGACCATGAACTTTTTTTCAAATACAATTAAACTGAGATTCAGAGACATTAACTAACTTGCCAAATCACAAAGCTAGTAGGTGGTAGATTAGAAACAGGATTCAAATTCAAGTTGTCTGATTTATTTTTTATATGAAAATATTATGTTTTATGTTTATATTGGGGGAGAGGATAGATCAAAGCAAAACAATATTCTTCAAGTCCTCCCAGTTCTTTTCAAGGCTGTGCCTGGGTACAAAATGGGTAAAATGTATCTTTTGAACAGTAGGATGTTTTGAAATCCTTGTTGACAACATGATGTAGCGAGACAGACTTTTGTCCTGGTTTACTATAGAGGACAAGTCTGACAGGAAGGAAGGGCCAACAGAAAACTATCATTGTGAGCATGGATGCCAAAAATGTTATGGGGGTGGTCTCAACCCATTGTATCACTCACGATGTCACAGTGGACTCTTTCACCTTGTAGCTTTTGTTCTTGTTGCTTAGAACTTCACAATTTTGCCAAATTGGGGGTAGATGGGTGATAGGAAATAGCAGATTGATTAAAAAAATACTAACATAGACTTAAAGAGTGACAGGAACTTATGAATCTCCAGATTTTCTGGCTATAACAAGAGGCAAAGATGAAGGACTCACTTTTATACAATAGGATTTTTGCCTTTTTTAAAAACTTATTAAACCCTAGAGCGTCTACTCTTACTTTGTATCCGTGACTCTCTCTCTCTCTTTTTTTAATAATAAATCTTTATTGTTCAGATTATTACAGGTGTTCCTCTTTCCCCCCCCTCTTCCCCCATAGCTCCCCTCCACCTGATCCCCAACTCCACCCCATGCCCTTACCCCCCGCCCCTGTCTTCACCATAGGTTTAAGATTCTTGTCCAATCTCTTCCCTCACCCCACCCTCTGAGAATTGTTAGTCCAATCCCTTTCTACGTCCCTGATTCTATTATATTCACTAGTCCATTTTGTTCTTCACATTTTTTATTCACTTGATTTTTAGGTTCACTTGTTGGTAGGTATGTATTTTATGTCTTTTTGTTGTTCATAATTTTTATCTTTACTTTTTTTCTTCTTCTCCCTCTCCTTAAAGAATACCCTTCAGCCGAAACTGGTTTGGCTCAGCGATAGAGCATCGGTCTGCAGACTGAAAGGTCCCAGGTTCGATTTCGGTCAAGGGCATGTATGTTGGTTGCGGACACATCCCCAGTAGGGGTTGTGCAAGAGGCAGCTGGTCGATGTTTCTCTCTCATCGATGTTTCTAGCTCTCTATCTCTCTCCCTTCCTCTCTGTGAAAAAATCAATTATATATATATATATATGAATACCCTTCAGCATTTCATGTAATTTTGGTTTGGTGTTGATGAACTCCTTTAACTTTTTCTTGTCTGTGAAGCTCTTTATCTGACCTTCAATTCTGAATGATAGCTTTGCTGGGTGGAGTAATCTTGGTTGTAGGTTCTTGTTGTTCATCATTTTGAATATTTCTTGCCACTCCATTCTGGCCTGCATAGTTTCTGTTGAGAAATCAGCTGACAGTCGTATGGGTACTCCCTTGTAGGTAAATAGCTGTTTTTCTCTTGCTACTTGTAAGATTCTCTCTCTGTCTTTTGCCCTTGGCATTTTAATTATGATGTTTCTTGGTGTGTTCCTCCTTGGATTCCTCTTGTTTGGGATTCTGTATGCTTCCTGAACTTGTAAGTCTATTTCTTTTACCAGGTAGGGAAAGTTTTCTGTCATTATTTCTTCCATTAAGCCTTCAATATCCTGCTCGCTCTCCTCTGGCACCCCAAAAATCCGGATGTTGGTACGCTGTAAGCCATCCCGGAGGCTCCTTACACTATCCTCACACTTTTGGATTCTTCTTTCTGCCTCTCTGGTTGGGTGATTTTTTCTTCCTTATATTCCAGGAATGGTTTGATTCTTGGGGTATGTTGATCTATAGTTGAGTTTCTGTATATTCTTTATTTCAGAGATTGTATGCTTAATTTCTGGAGGTGTGCAAGAGGCAGCTGGTCCTTTTCCATTTTTTTGGCATTCTCTTTAAGGTCCTTGAAGGTCTCACCAAGCTTCTTAGAGGTTTCATTAAGTTTCTCAAAGGTTTTTAGAAGATTCTTGAGTAATCTTATAAATGTAATTCTGAACTCTGTGTTGTCCAGTAGTTTACTTTCCTTCATCTTTCCCATTCGTGACATGTTTCTGTCTCCCCTCATTTTGGCTGATGGAGTGGTTTTGTGTGGTCGGTGACCTATAGGGACCAATAACTCAGCTTCCCCAATCACCTGAGGTGGTCACTTTTGCTATATCCCTTTGTGGGCTGAGTGCAAAGTCTTGGTGTAATTAAGCATTGATTGCTGTTGGTACACTGGGAGGAATTGATCTCCAGGCCAGTTGTCTGTGAGGACCCGCTCTGTCTATAAAGGAAGAACTGCTGTGCTGGAGACATGGTTTGTTTCAGTGGGGCTTTGGTGCTCACTGAGTCTGTCTCCTGAATGTGTCACTTATGGGTGTGAGGGGTTGAAACTGACCACTGGGAACACTGGCTTCTGGATCACCAATGGGGTACAGTTCATTTGCTTGAGACTTGGCGGTTGGTTTTGTTGCTGGAGCTGCAGTTTATCTCGTTAAGCTGCCACAATACCAGCCATTTATATACAAAAGCAGCTGTGTGGTGCCTGGGCAGGTCTGTAGAATCTGTGGGTGGGACCTCAGGGGAGGGTCTCAGGGCGGGGCAGGGCCTCAGGGTGGGACAGGGTCTCAGGACGTCACTAGGTTGGGGCATGGCTAACAGCAATGCTGTCCCAGCCCCCCACATTTCCAAGTCCCCACTTCCTTGCGATCCAGCGCAGTAATCACAGCGTAGTAAACAATGATTGCTGCATGCACCTCTGCAAGAGTCACCCTCACTTCGGACCGATGGCCAACAGACCAGCTTCTCCCCTGAGGCGTCTGGGTCCCCCACGTGACCCCAGAAACTTGATTTCAGAGTGATAGGGAGCTTGTTTCCTTCCGGGTTGAAAAGAAAAGCCATGTGCCCAGTCGCCTGCCACCAGCCCAATTCGCGTGCCTCCGTACCTAGGCTCCTCAGCTTTTCAGCGCTTGCGCTCCTTTCTCTTTCAGCCAATCTTCCCGTGGTTTTGGATGATAGATGTCCTTTATATTAGTTTTAATTTTTAAATTGTTGTAGGAGCGGCAGAGCAGTTTCTCACCTATGCCGCCATCTTGGTTTCTCTGTTTGTCCGTGACTATCTCTCTTAACCTAGCTTGTATTTAGAATTAGGAAGGCATTTTGCCATCTTGAGTATGTTTCTTGGTGTATTCTCTATCTCTAATCACTAGCTAGGTCACCCTTGCTTTTGTTCATGTATTTTATTCGCTTTTCAGAGTTTCTATACTGTTTCATGTTATTTTCACTTCACTAGGACTATCTATTAAAGCAGCTTACCTTTTGCACTGCTTCTACTTGAGCTTTCAAAATGTTACTCTTCAAGTCAGGAGGAACTCGCCTAGCATTCAATCCTGGGCTCTCAATGGCATTATTAAGACATTTCTCAGTCAGCTTCACCACTTCCTCCTAAATATTAAAAACATATTATAAGAAAATCTGATAGTTACATAGAAATAGAAAAGGGGCTGATGAAAGTTCATATTTAGATGACCAGGAAATTACAATATGTGTCTTAAACAGTCATAGCCTATTCCAGGAATAGTCAACTCCTACATATAATTTCAAACTAAGGCTTGGTTATTACAAACATGAAATACGAACTGATTGGGACCACAAAAAACCATCTAGACCAATTCCTGTCTTTAAGAAATTAAATAACCAACTATACTACCTGGGACAAATGCCTGAGCTAACCACACACAAAGAATGTGTGTCATTTGCTGTCCCCCCTTACTCAGTAAGGGGGGACAGCAAATGACACACATTCTTTGCTCCAAAATCCCCATTGAATCCTAAAAGCACAGATAGTACCAAACTATATTTTCCTACATATATGTCTGCAAGGAGGCACAGAAAGAGTATAAATAATGACGGCTAATAAAATGGAACAATTATAATATATAATAATAAAAATTATGTGAATGTGGTTTCTGTCTCAAAATATCTTATTGTACTGTACTCACCTTTTCACTAGAGGAAATTTCTATGGCTTCTCTTTGTTATATTTGAATTGCCAGCATCACTACTCTTGCACTTGGGGCCATTATTAAATAAACTAGAGGCCCTGTGCATGGAATTCGTGCCCGGGGGGAGAAGGGGTAAGGGGGTTCCTCAGCCAAGCCTGCCCCCTCTCACAGACTGGGAGCCCGCAGGGGAGCACATCTAAGCCTCAGTCTGGCCTCCCTCTGGGGGAGGTGACTGGGCTGATCAGGGGAAGGCACCAGCCCCATCACCCTGCTGCTGCTGCCACTGTCCCAGCCATCAAGGTGTTTTCATCAACACGAACTCTAGTCCTTCATCATAAAAAAATGACAACTTTCTTTAGGCATTTTCAAGATGTGTCTTTCATAGGACATGACCTTTCTTTTATATCCTCACCTGAGGATATGTTTCCATTGATTTTTAGAGAGCTTGGAAGAGAGAGGAAAGAGAGAAAAACATCAATGTGAGAGGCACACTTCGACTAGTTGCCTCCTGCATGAGCCCTGACCTGGGCCCTGGCCAGGGAGGAGCATGCAACCTAGGTACATGCTCTTGATCACAACTGAACCTGGGCCCTGCAGTTGGCAGGGCGAGGCTCTATCCACTGAGCCAAACTGGCTAGGGCAGGATATGACATTTCTTAGCCCCTCCAGCAGCGGACCTTGTTTTTTCCTCCAGGAGTGTGGTGGAAAAACCCTAGATCACCTTCTTGGATTCTAATTACCCAAGTTACTAAGAACACTGTGAGTGGCAGCTTACAGGAGCTTAGCCAATGAGCCTTCAGAAAAGGTGTTCCCCCTGCATTGTGTCCCCAGGGCTTCTGTCCACTGGGCTGGGGGTGTGCCCCGAGCCACATGGAGGCAGACACCTGGGGCACACCCCCAGTTCAGCGGCCCCACATTCTGTCCGCTGGGCTTCTGTTCACTGGGCTTCTGTATGCTGGGCTGGGGGCATGCCCCACGCCACTCTGCAGGGGCTGCCGGGGCACACCCCCAGCCCAGCAGCCCAGCGTTCTATCAGCTGGGCTTCTATCCGCTGGGCTGGGGGCGTGTCCTAAGCAGCCACGGCTTGGAGCACACCTCCAGCCCAGCAGTCCCACGTTTTGTCTGCAGCCTGGGCATGGGATGCTAGCATCATCACCAGGGCGATGCCGCCATCTTAGTTGTGGTGTGATGGTTAATTTGCATATTACCCTTTTATTAGATAGGATAACACACAAGTACTGTGAGACCATGACAGCTGACCGGATAACCAAGGTAACTACTCATTGCCTGGGTGGGACAAAATTATAGTTTATCAGACTTCCCAGAATGGCACACAATTTAAAACTTATAAACTGTTTATTTCTGGAATTTCCCATTTAACATTTTTGGACAATAGCTGACCACAAGTAACTGGAACCCTGGAAAGTGAAATCATAGATATGGGAGGACTACTGTATTTAACTTCAACTGGGTTTTCAGTTAGGCGAATCCCTGTAATTCTGTAGCTGTCACTAGGCAGATAATTATGTTTGGATTATTTTACATAGCCACAAAAAGGTCACTTTCAGCCATAGACTTATGAAAATGATAGAATAAAACACGAATCCATTCAATAAAGATCAAAATTAAAACAATATAAATAAACTTTTATGAAAGGAAGTGGGAGGAAGCAAATTAATAAGTTTAAATTATCTACACTACAACTGATATTTTACTTAACTTAAAATGAATGACAACCAATAACAACAACAACAATTATTATTATTATGGTTGCTATTTAACACTGGTCTAAATAACAAATGCACCCTAAATATTTTCTTAGTCACAGATACAGCTTTTGTTCTGTTAAACAGGCCTGGATGGGGTTATATACTGCACCACTACTCCAGGTTTAAAAAGCTTTAATTAATGTGATTATTTAATTTGATGTTTCTTAATATGGTCTCCACATATCTGCCTCTGGGTGCAATCCCAGTACATAAAAAGCTGAGCATCGCTACTTTGGCCTAGACCATATTCATGTGTGTAACCTCTTCATGTTTAGAATGGTTCCTATTAATTGAAATAAGTCCTTATTGTCCTTTTCTGACCACAGCTACTTCATGGCTTATGATCCAACAACCCCGCTTCTGAGGATATACCCAAAGGAAACAAAATCACTATCTTAGATATACTCCCATGTTCACTGCGTCAGTATGCACAATAGCTAAGATATGGAACCAACCTATGGGGACATTAAAGAATGAGTGGATAAAGAAAATGTGGTGTTTGTGTGACTGTGTGTACACACACAGAATATTATTCAGTCTTTAAAAAGAAGGAGATCCTGCCATTTGCAACAACATGGAAAATGCTGGCAGGCATTATGCTAACTGAAATAAGTCAGACAGAGAATGATAAATATTGCATGATATTATTTATATGTAAAATCTAAAAAAAAATATATATATATTCAACTCATAGAAACTGAGGGTGAGGGGGATAGGGAAAGGGTGGTAAAAGGTACAAGCTTTCAGTGATAACATGGATAAGTTCTGAGGATCTAATGTACAGCATGGTGACTATAGTTCATTATATTGTTTGGTACACTTGAAATTTGCTAAGAGATGTTAAACATTATCACAAAAAAGCAAAACAAAACAAAATGATAACTCTCTGAAGTGATGGATGTGTTCATTTAATTGAAGGAATCATTTCACAATGTAGACATACAGCAAATCATCATGTCATGTGCTTTAAATATATTACAATTTTAATTGTCAACTAGAGGTCCAGTGCACTAAATTCATGTACTGGGAGGAAGGGTCCCTCACCCAAGCCTGTGCCCTCTCACAGTCCCGGAGCCCCACGATCGATTGCCTGCCAGAGAAAGGCCCCGCCCACTCACCACAGCACCACTGCCTGGGTAGCCTGGACCTCCCTCTTTGGGGCAATCATGGAGGTCCCCCATTAATTGCCCCACCAGTCGGTGACCAGGGCCTCCCTCTATGGGTGATCATGGGATAATGGCGGGGGGCCTCTGACCCATCGCATTGCACTCGCTTTGGCTGGCCTGGTGCTAGTGCCCGTCATAGCGCAGTTGCCTGGACAGTCATTCTGCTGTCCAATCGTTTGGTTGATTTGATTTGCATATAATGCTTTTATTATTGTAAATTTTATCTCAATAAAGCTGAAAAAAATTATAGCTAGTTCAAATGCTTTGACATTTTCTTTTCACAGACAATTGTGTTGCAGACTTGAGATGACTTGTTAATCACATTATAGGATTCTCAGAACTATCTGCCTCTGACATAGGCAGATATTTATTTTCATGCCTATATTAAAAACAAAAATAATAGTTCAACTAACATTGAAGGTAAAAGTATAAATTACCTCAATCTTTCTGGGAGGCAATTTTGCAAAAGTACCAAAGGCTTTAAAAGTCTTCTCTGCCTGTACTTTGACCTACCACTTCTACTTTCCAGGGGGAAAATATCAAAGATGATTGTAGATATTTATGTATAAGTCTGTCATGCAATAATTAGGACAGTGAAAATGAGCCACAATCTGTCTAATGAGGATTAAGTAAACACATTGATGACTCATGCATGCAACTTAATTATTGCCTGTAATGTCATTGAAAAAAAAGAATTATGTTTACAACTGATTAGTTTAAAACAGCAGTGTTTTGCTTTTTAATTTAAAAAAATATATCACATTTAAATATTTAAAGGTATATAAGTTTTTGCTTTTTAAAATTTGCTTTAATTTTAAATTATCATGTATGTTTACAATTGAAAAATTTACTGAAATACAAGTTGAGTAATAGCTTTAAAATATTTTCACTTTAGCCGAAGCCGGTTTGGCTCAGTGGTAGAGCGTCGGTCTGTGGACTGAGGGGTCCCAGGTTCGATTCCGGGCAAGGGCATGTATATTGGTTGCGGGCGCATCCCTGATGGGGAGTGTGCAAGAGGCAGCTGGTCGATGTTTCTAGCTCTCTATCTCTCTCCCTTCCACTCTGTAAAAAATCAATAAAATATATTTAAAAATATATATATATTTTTTTTCACTTTATTTTCTTATAGCACATAACTCCAATGGCACCCAGCTGCTGATATATCTGCCTTGGATGGCCAAAATATGGCAAACATAAGACCAAAACAATTAAACGGACACCTGATTCCTAAATATCCCAATTAGAACTCACCTAAAATGACCCTCTACCGCAAAGAAGTTCTTGGTGGTCAGATGCTTATGTAAAGGGTTAAAGGGTCTGTTTAAGTTCTCAACCAGTGTAACGAACGCTCACTCTGCTTCTCCCCTCCTCAAGAGTCACCAGGCTTCATTCTCTTTTAGCTTCATTCAAGTCCTCCACCAAATTTGTGTCAAATTAACCTCCTGTCTCTGACCCTGCATTCTCCTACTTTACAGTGACAGTAAAGCAACTGACAAGGTAAAAGCACACAGACCAATATAATTACAAATATCAAGGTGGTCAAGAAAATAAAAGCCTTTCTGAAATTTAACCAGCTTCTAAGATATTTCTAAAAAAACAAACTAAAAAAACACAAACACACACACACACACACACACACACACACACACACACACAAACTGGATTCAAAAGAACAGCTTTAACAAATGGCCATGCAAGAAAGAAGAAAATCACTCTCTACTTCATACTTGTCTCCGAAAAAATTCCCATTAGTTATCCAGGGATGAAAGAACACTGCAGATCAAGTGTCCCCCTTTTCCCTTTAAAACCGAATTAAAACAGGATTCCTTCTACAGAGCCTTCTATTTGTTGTCTATACAAGGGTGTCTTCAGATCATTACCTAAAATTCACTCTTCTATTTAGTGGGGACATCTGATAGCTAATACAATCAATTATGTTTATCTCATTCCATTTATTTTAGATATTTCATGTAGAAATAAGAAAATGCTTTGCAATTAACTAAAGTTTAATTGGTATGCACCCTCCCTCTCCCCCACACACACACACACAATGCCTTAAAAACTCCAGAAAGATAGGGTGGTGAAAAGGTATAAAGATAAATCTGAAGCATCTAAAGATCTATTCTCTTCCTTGTTTATATTAAAGAGCAGCTCCTTTCAAACAAACTCTCCTATAATTTCAAAGGCCATTCACTAAGTTTTTCAACTAAATCAAGACCCACTAAACAGAATTAAGAAAAAAAAAAAAAAAAGGCTGAATCAAAATGAAAAGTTACCATCTATATCACTTTTGACTGTATGTGTAAAAAAATGAGATGATCTTACAGTTCTTAATGTCACTGCCCAAGTTTCTCTTTTCCTCCTAAACATCTGAAAATATCTCCTTTTTAAATGAGAAAACAGGTTTATAAGTATCAAGCACAGACAGATATCCCAGCAAAAGAGAAGAAAAAATATTAGCTTTGGAAAGAAAGGATTTCTGGGAGGTCTAGCGATATGTGACAGGTACACAAAGGAGAAATGTGAATACCTGGTTGTTGATGTTAACATCAATGTTGGGACGAGGGAATGGCAATGAACCGTGTTCTGTCTCAATGTGTTTCAGCTTCTCTGGCGCATCTTTTAATGCTAGGAGGAAAAAAAAAAGGCAAAAATAGCCCCTTAGTCTGCCATGCTGTCATAGCTGTGTGAGGGTATCATCAATTAAAGGGTTAGGACCACAGAATAAAGATATTTTCTTTTTGTAGCCAGGTAATTCTCCATTAATTTGAATAAGAGTTAACCTAAACAGCAACATTAGCCTGTATCTACACCGCTCCTAAAAAGCCACTACATATGGAATCTCAATAGCATGTGTGGTTAAAGAAGGCTTACTAGTTAAAAAGTTCAAAGAAAATGCCTGGCCAGTGTTGCTTAGTGGTTAAGCACCAACTCATGAACCAGGGGGTCACAGACGGATTCTTGGTCAGGGCGCATGCTCAGGTTGCTGGCTTGATCCCCAGGAGGCAGCTGATAGATGTTTCTATTTCCCTTCCTCTCTCTCTAAAATCAATAAAAATATACTTTTGAAAGACTTAAAAAACACGCAGAGCCCAGGCTGGTTTTGCTCAGTGGATAGAGTGTCAGCCTGCGGACTGAAGGGTCATGGGTATATGCTCGGGTTGCAGGAGACAGCTGATCAATGATTCTCTCTCATCATTGGTGTTTCTATCTCTCTCCCTCTCTTCCTTCTTCTCTGAAATCGACATATATATAGAGTTCACTTGTGACATGATCCTTTCTTCTATAACCACAACCCAAGCTCCTCTAGTCAAACTTCAGTACTTTGCCATTTTCTTACCTTGGCCCTAAATATACACAGCCTAAAACTAAACCATGTGGAGCAAACTGACGAAGGGTATATATTTATTCATTCACTGACTCAACATATTATATATTGTACACATTAGATGTGATGCAGGATAAGCATTTTGTCTTATGTTCCACCTTGGCTGCAGAACACACCTCTCTATAAAAGCCTAATAATATGCAGTGTCCCCTTGGGAATTCCACCATTCCTGGGGAGTTTGGTTGCTTGCTCTGGTGTGCACTGACCACCAGGGGGTGATGTGGAACAAAGGATGATCCCAGCTGGCAGCCAGCAGCCTGGGAAGGGAGGTGTTGGCCACAGCCGGCAGCCGCTGGAGACCCTACCCATGCATGAATTTAGTGCACTGGGCCTCGTTAGTTATAAATAAAGTCCTCTGACCACTGAAAAGATAATGCATTTAACACAATTCAGCTTTAAATGAACTCTATTTAAATTAACCACACTATTATAATCTTATACAGGGACTAATTGATATAAGTTGGAATTTTTACATGTTCATTTGACAAAAAGAGCTATTGAATGCCTATTAATTTCTATATAATCAAGCAGAAGAAGGGAGAAAAAACTATTAAATCATTTCCTCCTGGTCTAGGGATCATATAAAAGTAAACAGCAATTAACTCTTGGAACATTAGAACCAGATGTGGAGTTTTTAAGTAATACTGCTTCCCAGAGCTGACCTTAGGACAATAATATCAGAATTTCTGGAGGTAGTTTTCTGGCACTGGTAGTTTTTAAAACTCTCCTGGTAATGAGAATCACATATTCAACACTGATCTCAAAAATCATCCATACTCATTTACTTAATTGCCATATCCTGGTTTTCTTATGCTTCAAATTATTTGATGCTAAATTTTAACATGATGATGTTGAGACCACAAAAGCTTTAGCTTATACTGATAAATTAATACTACCGGATTTGGGTTTTTTGTTTTTGTTTTGCTATTGTTATTTAAATAAAGCTTCTTCTGCTACATCTGTTTGGCAGAGGAACATCCTGAAATTGTAGGATAAGCTGTTCTTAAAAAAAAGAACAGTACTTTTATAACTACTCAGCTATGCAAATCAGGATTTTCACATTACAACCAAAAGAAAATAAAGAATAAATTGGATACCAAGATTCTAAGGCCTTAATTCTTAATACCAAAACACTCCATTTTCATTGACTTTGAGCAAATGTTATAAATCTGAACTGAGTAAGCCTTATTAATAAAACCCTCACACTATGCAAGGGTTTCTTCTGTCACAACTTCAACAACATTTAAGCTCCACTTGAAAATCTTCTATAATGAGGGGCTCATGTACTATTTATTAGGTATCTATTTCTGACATATGGCAGAAACATTTAAAAAATCCTTTTCTATACTGATTGCAAATCTGTTTCCCTATACTTGCAAATTGCTGGTCCATGATTTCACCAATAAAGTGTCAAAAAATAAATTATTTGCTATATCAGGCTTTCAAATATTTGAAGAGTTATCACATCTTATATTATCTTTTCTAGGTAATCCTCATTCATCCTGCCATATTCACCAAAACCAATACAATTTCCTAAAAAGTAAGTACAAAGTAAATGTTGTTTGTTTATCCAATACTATTGCAGCACTGCTAAAAAACTTTTAAAATTCATATAATAGACATAAAATGAAATGTATGTAAAATTAATACTGCCAACTCTATAATGGAGAGTACTTTCATCTTAACCCTGGAAATACTCCATATGAAGCTAGTCCTGCTTCTGGTTGAATCTAAATTCTGCTAGCCTTAGTTTCTTTCTTTTTTTAAATATATATTTTATTGATATTTTTTACAGAGAAGAAGGGAGAGGGATATAGAATCAGAAACATCGATGAGAGAGAAACATTGACCAGCTGCCTCTTGCACACTCCCTACTGGGGATGTGCCCCCAACCAAGGTAGATGCCCTTGACCGGAATTGAACCTGGGACCCTTCAGTCTGTAGGATGATGCTCTATCCCCTGAGCCAAACCGGTTAGGCCTGGCCTTGGTTTCTTGTCTCACATCCTTCTAGTGACAAAGAGTGACCTTCGCTAACAAAAGGTAGAGTCCAGCCCTAACTGGTTTGGCTCAGTGGATAGAGCATCAGCCTACAGACTGAAAGGTCCCAAGTTCGATTCTGGTCACGGGCATGTACCTTGGTTGCGGGCACATCCCCAGTAGGAGGTGTGCAGGAGGCGGCTGATCAATGTTTTTCTCTCATCGATGTTTCTAACTCCCTATTCCTCTCCTTTCCTCTCTGTAAAAAAATCAACAAAATATATTTTTAAAAAAGGTAGAATCCAGGACAGGGCTGTAAAAACTGGAAACTAGCCGGGACCGGTTTGGCTCAATGGATAGAGCGTCAGCTTGGGGACTGAAGGGTCCCGGGTTCGATTCCAGTCAAGGGCATGTACCTTGGTTGCGGGCATATCCCCAGTAGGGGGTGTGCAAGAGGCAGCTGGTCGATGTTTCTCTCTCATCGATGTTTCTAACTCTATCTCTCTCCCTTCCTCTCTGTAAAAAAATCAATAAAATATATTTTAAAAAAAACACACACACAAAAAAAAACCTGGAAACTAGCCTAAAAGAATTATGGCAAAGAAAATACAAGACAAACAGTAATGGAGGATGTTTTCTTAATCCGATAACTACTATCTTTAAAATAAAATTAGAACATTATTCTGAAATTACCAACATAATAAATCAAAGTTAATTTTTTGTTTCCCTAATCTCAGATTCATAAGCACAATTCAAACAAGTCAGTAAGAACATAAAACCTTGAACATATCAGACTATTTGTTTAACAAAGTATTTGTTGTGGTTACTTGGAGAACAAGAACAAATTTTTAATGCCACCTACCAGTAGTACTTCTGCATGTTCTACTAACACAAGTGATCGGCAAACTCATTAGTCAACAGAGCTAAATGTCAACAGTACAACGATTGAAATTTCTTTTGAGAGCCAAATTTTTTAAACTTAAACTTCTTCTAATGCCACTTCTTCAAAATAGATTCACCCAGGCCGTGGTATTTTATGGAAGAGCCACACTCAAGGGGCCAAAGAGCCGCATGTGTAACTGTACTAACCAGAAGCATAGTGTAACTTTTCATTAACATTTCTTATCTCTAAATTGCTATATACTACTGCTGTATTCTATATCAGTGAGAGACAACAGCATACTCAATGGCAATTACCAATTAAGAGCCACATAAATATGAGCTGCTTTTAAAATGTACATTACACTGAGATTCAACAGGAAGTTTCTGTTTAAACATAATTTATACTTTAATATCAAACCAAATTCACAAATATTAGAAATTTCAACCTGCAATTTCCTATTTTCTTTTAACCTTTTAAAATGTTAAGAAAAGCAGTTTTCTTTCTGGATTTTTTTTTTTTTTTTGTAGGTCTGTACAACAGTCCTCATTAAAAACAAAATATTTCTAGGAGCTAATGGAATGTGCAAACATTTATTCAATCCTGAACCTTAAAAATCTTTCAAGAAACATTTTCTTTTAATTTTCACTCAAGAAATGAAGTGAAAAAGCAAGTTTGAAAATGTACAAATATTTAATGACTTATAAGTGATACAAATGTTTAATGGTCTCAATTATGCTATCTTAAATATTTCAATGAACCATTAAGCCAAAAAAGGCAAGAAGGCATAACTCTTTTACATTAAAATTTAAAATTCAACTACTACATAAAATATTCTTGAAGGAACTGACTTAAGCAGCTCATTAAAAGGGAGGTGAAATAAAAGGTGTCATTGATGTTACACAGAATATTTACTCACTCGTGCCTTCAACTTCAGGTTCCTCTGATCCGGTTTGCCTGGGGGCTACGTTAACTTCATCTGTTGACTGCAATGTTTGCACAGTGTCAGGTGCCCCAATCACATCATCAATAGTTGTTTCCAATAAGGCTGGGCTATCTAGCAAATCAATATTCAGAGGCAAGCTGTAAAGGTAACAGAAAACTTACTTAGTCCAAGAAATTTATCATGAAAAGAATTTAAAATACTAAGAAAAAATCTTTTTTTGAAAAAAAAATTTCATGTAAGAGTTTATATGCCAACTAGTTTATTTATCTGTCAAACATTTTGGGTAGACTTTTCTATCAGCTAAGATGGAGTAAATGGCACTGGATTTAACTTCCTACTTGAAATAACTTAATAAGGGGGAAAAACTGCTTTCAAGTGATCAGACATCAGAAAGCAAAGGACAGTGATTGTGATTCTGAAACTCAGGAAACAAAGGAGGTGGGCCCTACAGTTGCCTTGAGAGATTTCCTTGCCATGGCGCAGAGAGGGTGAAATGATGCACAGCCAGGAGGACTCCCTTAGTCTCTTCTTAATAAGTAACATGAGGCTGAGAGTCCAGGGAGACCACGGCAGCTACATTCACAGGACACAGTACTTCAAGGAAGGCTGAATCCTGGAGATGTGCAGAAGGTCCCCCTCTCAAGTATTCAGCAAGTGCTGGTCAGAGAATGCATGTGAGGACACTTTAAGGCTAGGAAAAGAACTATCCAAAAGAATTTCCTCCCTCCCTCTGTTTGGCTGGGGAAAGTACTATTGGCACTCTCATACTGGACCATAGTTCCTATTTCCATAGACTAAAACCTCAGAATTCGCAGGGCATTGATTATTTAGGAAGGTCTTGCCTCAATCATGGAAAATAATTAACTCAGGCTAAGCATAGCAACAAGCCCACCTAACCCAAAAAAATCACAAACTGTTTCTAAGTAATTTAACTATATCCCAAAACAAAGTTCAAGAAGTTTTAGAGAAATATAGAATTATCTAGCATCACGTAGGAAAGTTAAATTTGTTAGGTGAAGAACTTGATAAACTGTCCGACATCAACTCAAAGATTACCAGGAATGCAAACATCCCATGCTAAAGAGAATAATCAACCAATAGAAACTGATATTAGAATTAGCAGAGAAATCCATTAAATAGTTATTATATGTATTCCATATAACCAAAAAAGTTATGCAAAGACTTGGAAGATATAAAAAAAGACTCAAAACAAACTTACAGAGATGAAAACTACAATATCAGAAATGTAAAATATATTAGATGGGATTGACAGTAGATGAGAAGTTAGATAAGACACTAAAGACATAGCAACAGAAACTATCCAAAATAAAACACACAGAGATAAAGAATCCCCCCAATGAAAAGAATATAATTTAGCTGTGGGACAACTTCAAGTAGCCTACTCTATGGATAACTGGAGTTCCAACGTGGGGATGGGACAGGACAAATGTTGAAGTTTATCAAAATTTGATGAAAACTATTAGCCCACAGACGCCAGGGCTCCTCACACAGGGCACCACCTTGCTGGGGCTGACCAGTAGACCCTGAGCAACGGATGAATGGATTACTCTGTTCACTGTGAAAGAGAGACTAAGGGACAGCCTGGCCAAAATGACCAGGCAGCCTTGATTGTCTGCCTCGTTAGGCTTTTATTGGATTTTTTACTTTTAAATACAATCAGCAGGGTGAGTAAACTTGGGAGAACACATATTTACATTGTCCTCTAGGCAAGGGCATCCAGGGATTAAGCATGAGGATTCCAGTAAACACGTGTATATCTGCAAATGCACCGACTTGTTTGGAAAGGTCAAGGAATAATTACGGGCGTAGCCTTTGACCTTCCCCTAAGTCTCCCTTACATTGGAATTCTGATAAACAGGGCAGGTGGCTTTCCACACACTTCCCTTTTCTTGGAATATCTCCCTTACAAGCTTTCCAACCAAGTCTCATCTTTCTCCACACACAGATCCAAGAAATCTCAACAAACCCTAAAGACAAGAATATGAAGAAAACTACACCAAAGCATATCACAATCAAACTACTTAAAACTTAATGATAAAAAGAAAATCTTAAAAACAGCCCAAAATATTATGTGTTCAAATAAAGATATGAGTGACAGCTGATTTCTCATCAGAAACAATGGAAAATAGAAAAACACACAGCGGGGAGGTCCATCGAGTAGCTGAGACGCCCGAATCGGCGCGGGCGCGTGGAATCGGGGGAGTTCTTCGGTCACCCACGGAAAGGAGAAGGAACACCACATAACCAGACATCCTGAGAAGAGAAGCTATGGGGAGACAAAAACATAGTCCGCACATGAAAGAAAAGCAGGCATCACCAGAAAAGGAAGTAAACGAGCCCGAGGTAAGCAGCCTACCAGAGCAAGAATTCAGAATAATGATCATAGGATGGCTAAAAAGAATGGAAGAGAAATTTGACAATAACCAAGAAGAAATGAGGAAGAACCATGAGGAATTGAAGAAGAACCATGAGGAATTGAAGAACCAAGAAGAAATGAAAAATGACATCACTACCATGAAGAACTCAATAGAAAGCATCAAGAGTAGACTAGATGAAGCAGAGGACCGCATCAGTGAGCTAGAAGATAAGATGGAAAAAAATACCCAAGTAGAGCAGCTTCTAGAAAAAAGATTAAAAAGCAGGAGAAGAGCCTACGGGAGCTTTGGGACAATACAAAACAAAATAATATTCGAATAATAGGGGTTCCAGAAGGAAAGGAAACTGAGGTAGACATGGAAAAAGTATTTCAAGCAATAATGACAGAAAACTTTCCTGAAATAGAGAAGAAAAAACCCACACAAATCCAAGATGCTCACAGAGTCCCAAGCAAAATGAATCCCAGAAGACAGATTCCAAGGCACATTATAATCAAATTGGCAAACAACAACGACAAAGTAAGAATCTTAAAAGCAGCCAGAGAGAGAAAGAAAGTTACATACAAAGGAACCCCCATCACACTGATTTCTCAACAGAAACTTATCAGGCCAGAAGGGAATGGGATGAAATATACAAAGTCATGCAAAGGAAGGGTCTGAATCCAAGAATACTGTACCCAGCAAGGCTATCAATCAAAATTGAAGGGGAAATCAGGAGCTTCACAGACAAAAAAAGACTGAAGGAATTTATCTCCACCAAACCAGCAATGCAAGAAATGCTAAAGGGTCTACTGTAAAAATAAAGAAATAGGAAGTGAAGAAGGAACACGGGTATAGAATAAAAATGGCGTCAAATGTGTACCTATCAATAATAACCTTAAATGTAAATGGATTAAATGCTCCAATCAAAAGACATAGGGTAACAGATTGGATAAGAAAACAAGACCCATACATCTCTTGTCTACAAGAAACCCACCTCAGAAAAAAAGATGCACACAGACTGAGGGTGAAGGGATGGAAAAAAGTTTTCCAGGCAAATGGAAATGAAAAAAAAGCTGGGGTAGCAATACTTATATCTGACAAATTAGATCTCAGAGTGAAGGACATAATAAGAGATAATGAAGGCCACTTCATAATACTAAAGGGAACAATCCAACAAGAAGAAATAACCCTGGTAAATATATATGCACCCAATACAGGAGCAACCAAATACATAAAAAAACTGCTGGAGGACATTAAGAGAGAGATTAATAACAATAAAATCATAGTAGGAGATTTTAATACCCCACTGTCACCCTTCGACAAATCATCTAAACAAAAAAACAGCAAAGAAATATCAATCCTAAGTGACTCACTAGACCAGATGGAATTAATTGACATCTTCAGAACACTCCACCCCAAAGCCACAGAATATACATTCCTCTCAAGTGCACATGGGACATTCTCAAAGATAGACCACATTTTGGGACATAGGCAAAGTCTCTTCAAATTCAAGAAGATAGAAATCATATTAAGTATCTTCTCAGACCATAATGGCATAAAACTGGAAATTAACTACAATAAAAATAATCCAAAGAAATCAAACACATGGAGACTAAACAGCACGCTATTAAACAAGGACTGGGTTATCAGAGAAATCAAGGAAGAAATTAAAAACATCCTGGAAACAAATGACAATGAAAACACAACAATCCAAAATCTATGGGACACAGCAAAAGCAGTTTTGAGAGGGAAGTTCATATCCTTACAAGCCTATTGCAAAAAACTAGAAAAAAGGGTAACAGATGATCTAACTCTACAACTCAAAGAGTTAGAAAAGCCCAAGTGTAAGCAGAACGAAGGAAATAATAAAAATCAGAGCACAGATAAACGACATAGAGACCAAAAAAACAATACATAAGATCAACAAAACCAAGAGCTGGTTCTTTGAAAGAATAAACAAGATAGATGGACCTCTAGCCAGGCTAACTAAGAAACAAAGAGAGAGGACCCAAATAAACAAAATCAGAAATGAAAGAGGTGAAATAACAACAGACCCCACCGAAATACAACGGATTATTACAAAATACTACGAACAACTCTATCCCAACAAACTGAACAACCTGGAGGAAATGGACATATTCCTAGAAGAATACAAACTTCCAAAACTCGATCAGGAAGAATCTAAAAATCCCAATAGACCAGTGACTTGGGAAGAAATTGAAACAGTCATCAGAAAGCTTCCAGCAAACAAAAGCCCAGGGCCAGATGGCTTCACAAGAGAGTTTTACCAAACATTCAAGGAAGAACTAAAACCTATCTTCCTCAGACTTTTCAAAAAAATTCAAGAGGAAGGAACACTTCCAAACTCCTTCTATGAAGCCAGCATCACCCTAATACCAAAACCAGATAAAGACAACTCAATGAAAGAGAATTACAGGCCAATATCCCTCATGAACATAGATGCCAAAATCCTCAACAAAATCCTAGCAAATCGGCTCCAGCAGAGCATCACAAAGATCATACACCATGACCAAGTAGGATTTATTCCAGGAATGCAAGGTTGGTACAATATCCGCAAATCAATAAACGTGATACATCACATAAACAAATTGAAAAATAAAAATCATATACTCATATCAATTGATGCAGAAAAAGCATTTGATAAAATCCAACACCCTTTTCTGATAAAAACTCTTAACAAGGTGGGAGTACAAGGATCATACCTCAACATAATAAAAGCTATATATGATAAACCCACA